ACACATGCATTTTATGTACTTTGTCCTCAGTATGAACTATTTCCTTTTCTAATGCCTTAAAGGAAAGTAATTTTTCGTGGTCATTGTTTTCCTTTTGTGTATTCCACATTTGAGGTGCTTCAGCTCATTCTCTCTCTGTTTCTTTTTGTTTTTTAAGTTTTTTAGGAATTCTTTTGTACCCAAAAAAAACTGTTGTGTTTTCTTTACTCCTGTGTAGTCTATATTAAGCTAAACAGTAGATGATGTTGTAATTTTGTATTAGAATAAAAAGTTTATGCCTATATGCATGTAGCTTTTGTTCATCTGTTTCTATTTTCTTTCTGGAGTAGCTGTGGCATTGGCTATTGCTATTCTGTTCTTTATCATTGTTAATCTTGTCTATGAATTTTTTTTAATCTCTAAACTTGTTCACAGCTACATATCTTCTTTAAACTTTAATATATAGTTTTTGGAGAGGAATGAGGTATAATTTGCAGGTTAATCTGTTTGGAAGCTACAGTCCAGAACTCTTACAAAGCAGAAAAGCCAGTCTCTATCTCTGGTTTGTTCTCTTTAGAGAAACAACTCTTTGTGGTTTTTTCCATTTAAAACTAACAGGATGTTTTAAAAAATAAACTACTGTTTAGCTGGAAGCAGCTCTTGTCTGTCTCTTAAGGAGTAGCAGACTGCAGTTGCAAGAAAAAAAAGCAAGACCAGAAGACCAAATGTGTAATTATAAGAGCAAGAAGGCAGGAAGAGAGGAAAGTGATAATCAGTTCAGACAGTCGAATAGAAGAGCTATTATGTGGGATTAGAGAAGGAAACAAGAATGTCTATAGGTAGAGACCGAGGAGAAGAAAAAGCTTAGACATGGAAGAAGTTTCAAAGATAGGAAAATTGAAGCGTCTTCTTGTAAGTAAGTAGTGAAAAATATTCTAATGAAAATATAGTATATTGTTACGGTGAGAATTGGGAAAGGTAACTTGTCATTAATATGTTTGTGTCCAGTCATGATTTCAATTTTAAAATCTGTAAAAGTAGCACAGTAAGCTGTTCGTTGCACATAAACTGCAAGTTAAAAAAGAGCTTGAGTCATCATATTTTACCTAAAATATGTTTAATTGTGACCTTAAGTGGCATTGCTCTTAAAAAAAAAAAAAAAAAAAAAAAAAAAAAGGACTCTTAATTAAAAAAAAAAAACCAGATATTTCTGGCAAAGTTTAATACAATCATAAGCTAATACATGAAATAGTAGTTTTGTAATGTCTTATAACTTAGAATTTCTGTTTTTCTACTTGAGTATAGCATATGAACGGAGTAAGGATGTTATTTAACCTACATTTAAATTTATGCATAAATCAGATTCATTTACGAAACCCTTTCAGGCTTGGATTGAGTAAACAAGACCTATCATAATTTCTTATAAGACCGTTCTTCCACAGGTGCCATTAGGGTGTGGAAGCCAATATCTCTTACACTGAACTGTGTGGCGTTAGGAATTTGGAGAGCAAGATGCAAAGTTCAGCTTTTAATATCCCGCTTACTGAGCTGGCAAGCTGGGCAGCCCAGAGGACAAAGGACAGGGGGGAAAAAATGAATTTCATGCCAGTGTTTCAGGGGGCAAATAAGGTCACTTGGGTAGTTGCAAACTAATTGGTCAGATAAAATTGTGGAAATATTGATATCCTGTTCAGTAAAAAGAGAACCGAATGGTAGTAACAAAATTAGTGCCACTTGTCATATTTTGAATAAAATGTTTTGTTAGATAACGTATTTGAAACGTTGCAGGTTTAGCTAATATAAGAAATGGTTAAGATAGGATGTTTTGTTTCTTTTTTTTTTAAGTTGCTATAGCCGATACTTAAAAGCTAGTTAACAGAAATGTAAATTGGGAATTGCTATATTGTTAGATTTCTGTGTAAAATCAGTGTTTTTTTTCCTAATCAAATATGTAATCAAGTTATTGGTGGCTTTTGCAGGCAATATTGACTGCACAAATAAATAACAGCAGCAGTAGAGGGTTAGCCTCTGTAAGATTGATTCAGTCAGATAGGGCATATTCTGGCAGTGAGGTACTGCAACCAAGAATGAAGAATACAAGTCATCCTTTCAAGGATAAGAGCAGTAGGCTAGCTGGGAAAAACGAGTCATTGTGAATAATAATGGAGCAGGAATTTCTGTGATAAAGAAATGTTGACTATAATAGTGAGAAATTACTAAATTGTGGCATAAAATGGCTGATTTGACTATATTTGTGATGTTAGAGACAATGTTTGGTATAGTGAACCCAAAACTGGAGAAATTCTTGTTTGGAAAATGGAACCAAATAAAAAAAGTTAGGAAAATTTCTTGACAATGAGGGTAACAGAGCACCTGAACAGGTTGCCAAGAGAGGTTGTGGAATCTCCTCCTCTGGAGATACTCAGAACCTGCTTGGATGACATCCTGTGCCACATGCTCCAGGTGACCCTGTGAGTGCAGGGGGCTTTGACTAGGTGGTCTCTGGAGGTCCCTTCCAACCTTAACAATTCTGTGATTAATACTTTAGATAGTACAGTTTTATGGGGAGAATATGGAAGGAGAAGTTAAGCCTGTTTTGTTAATGAAGATATAATTTTATGAGGTTGTTTGACTGCCTTTTTGAGAGAAGAAAATCTGTTTTAAGGTAACTTATCAGTCTGCCAAAAAAAATAGCAGCTTAGAAATGAAAGGTAAGTTAATGTGACTGAAATAAGGAGAGGAAGTAAAATGATGATGAATTGATGGAAAATAGTGTGGTGGAATTTGTAGCTTATGGAGCTTTTTAAGTAAAGCTTGCAGATAAAATATAGGCTTGATATATAAAAGGGGGGTATAGGCAACAAGCTGGATGAAATTCTTGATATCTAGGAATTTATGAAGTGTACAGCATGTGTTGTGAATGCAAGCTTCAGTTCCATCTCTTCACATGTGCTTAAAAGTAGGCCTTAAACTGAGGTGTCTGAAGATCATCGTCAGTGGAATGGAAAAGAATCAGCAGAATTTGATATTTATGATATTTTGATATTTGTGATATTTTGATACTTACGCAGTAAACTAGAGCTTCTTGTAACAGAAACATTCAGTAAAGCTTTTCTTTCTTTGTCGCAGAATTTGGTACCACTACCTTATAGTTCTAGTTTCTAATACAAGTAAAAATGTTTTCCAAAGTCAGTGAAGACTGGGGAGCAAACAAGTCTTCATCTGTCTAGACCATCTCTCTATGATCTATGCAATGGGGGAAAGAAACAGTTGGTAAAGAGGGGGAAGAAATTTTGAATTTAATCAGGGAAATGCTTTTATCTTTGAAGATTTGATCTGCTTGTTTTGATGCTTCTGGCCCTATTGCTGTAAGGCTTCCTGTTATCCCAACAAGCTAGTAAGTTTAGAACCCCGTGGCTGAGATTTTCTGAGTCTCAACCTATATTTCCAGTAAATAGTCTTCAGGTCCAATTTAGGGAGGTAGTTCTCATTATGGAACAGTCTATACTGAGTTAATAGAAACTCTTTGTTAAGTGTTGGAGTTGTTTATGATGCAGAGGCTGCGTTGCTTCTTTTGAGTGGGCAGTTTCCACCAGAGTCTCTATCCATTAGCTGACCCTCAGTAAGTAGTGGTATAGTAATAGTAACAGATGCATTTTAATTAAGCTTTGTACAAAACTTGCCTGCTCAGCTGCCTTTTAAAGTTTGGGAGTTAATGGACAAACAACAGTGTGTATTTGTTTTGGAGGGTTATTGAGAAAATGCTTTGCTCTCAAGGTAATAGATATGCTTTGAAGTCTGTCTCCTGCATTGTAGGCTATGAAATGGAGAACTCATGTAGAGAGCCACAGAGTAGTGGGAATAGCTAGATGGATTTGAATTTTTGAGCAGTACCTTGCAGAGCTTTTTGTTCCACTCTGTGGAGGTGCTTATGTTTGTATTCCGTGCATGTTCTTCATCAAGGGAGGGAAACATTTTTTTCTTTCCTTGAGGGATTAAGGTATAAGGTCCTACAAAATTATCTTTGCCCAGAGCCTACAGCTTCTCTAATCAGATGAAGAAAGAGAAATTGAGGAAAGGAAAACTTTCAGGAGTTACTCAGTGATTAAATACTTTAGTGAAAGGCAGAGAGGAGAGTAACATGTAAGTTGTTCCCACTTGTTTCCATTCTAGCATAATGTTGGTAGCAGAGAATTAATTTTGACTAGCAGAGTCTTTTTTTATGGTTGTTTGAGAAAATAAATACTTGGAAAGCCATCCTCTCTGGCTATATGTTCTGAAACATCACTAGTTGGTGTTGCATAATGTTAGTGAAACCTAAGCAGCAAATCTGAGGAGCCTAAGCAGGACAGCGACAGCGGTGTTTACCAAGCAGAAAGAAAATAAGACTTTCTCTTTTAATGGCATTGTTGGCGTCTCCATTTCAAAAGCACCTTTTTATAATGCTTTTGGATATCAAGCTAATACTGTCAAATTAAAAAACAACTAGCAGAATATATATATATATATATATATAAAGCAAGACTTGAAAATACTGTATTTCTATGCGTATATGCAACAGTTGTTCAACACTAAAAGCAAGATGATAACCATCCCCTTTCCGTAGACAAACAGCACCAACTCTTTTGAAAACAATGACAGGAATCTGACTTTATCTGACAAAAGGAATTTGGAGTGGAAATCTCCCATTTGTGTAAACTGGGCGTGCCAGAACAGTGTGCAGTACAGGCTGTTGTTTCCCAAGCACATTAACATCCTGTAATTGGACCCTCTCCTGTCTGTCCTCTCCTGTTTCTATGGTGAAGAGAGTCATACAGAGGCTAGTGATGGGGCAGGACGGATGCTTTCGGTGATATTACTTGGCTGCTGCTGGATTCAACGGACTAACAGATGGAGTTTTTCCATTGTACAGAATGCTGTACAGACAAGATCTGAGAGAAACCTTAATTCTGATTTATTCCTTATATATATTTAAAAAGTAGCTTTTTTTTTTATTGGCAACATATATTTTTGTCTTCCCATTTCTTCTACATTTTTCTTGAGTCTTGAGCCCTGCAGCGCTGTTTTTCCTTGATTTATCTTCATGGGAAAACTTTGAGTTGTTATTACTGATGGTTGCCATACTATATCAGGTTCAGGTATGTTACTGTATCTGCAAGACACAGCCTCTCCCAAAACTCCTGACGCCAAACTATATTTTAAGTAATTTAAGTAAGCTTTGACTTTACGCTGATTCTGTGGTCGGGAGTTCTTCATTGACTGAATTTTTATCTTGTATTCATTGTGAAGTGTATTTGGATCCCGCATACATAGGGTATAAACTTTGTATTTCATGTTGCACTTGTATTTTTTGGCCTGCCAGGTAACTTTCAAGGAAAAATTATGGTTAATGTTTTAAACTGAAAATCCTGGATTTTTTTTCACAGTGGCAGATCTCTTTTAGCATAAAAAATGTGAGCATTTCCTGTCTAAACTAAAAACGTTGTTAGTTTGTATTGTGCTTGTTCATTGTACTGTTGTTAATTCCTCCCTAATTCCCTAACCTCCATATTACCATTTGCTTTTGGAATTTTCAACTTTTGATTCTGTGTATCCTCCACTTGCTAGTTTGTACAAAATGCATTTGTAAACTAAATGCAGTTTAGTAGATATTTTCATTTATTAAAAATCCTACAACCTTTGTTTTGAAGGCTGATTTATTTTTGACTTAACTTTGATTTGCTTTGTCATAGTGGTCTTGACTGAGGATAGATTTACTCTCTTCAGTCTCTTTCTAGACTTGATCATTAACTGAATATATAGATTTATTTAATAAAGGTTTAAAATGTAAACTAGTTCCAAGTTAGTCATACAGTTATAATTTACATTATTTTCTTTCAGCAGATGTTCTTAAGTGTTCAAGTTAGCATCCAGTGAAGTTGTTTTGTGTTTTAAAGTGCCAAATGTATCTTGTGTGTTGTATATCTGGTGTGCATCAAAGCTTCTTAGTTATCTCTGATTTTATCTTTGATTATATCTTTGTTATCTTGGAAAAAATCCTTTTGTGAGTAAAAGAATTTTTAAGGGGAAAAAGGTACAATTGTTTTTGTCGTGAAAGTGGTCAGACAAGGACTATACATGAAATACAGACGTATATCTGCGTACAATAGATCCTGCACATACAATTTACTGTTCTGTTGCGTAACTGGTGTGTGTGTGTGTGTATACATACATACACACACACACACACACGCACACACACACACGAGCGACTTCTATCCAAGTAGGAAGCATCCCCTCAAAGCACAGCTCATAAGCTGTTTCTGGTGATGGTTTTACTCTTAGCTAATTTTCGGTATTTTTGTTTCATTTTGTTTTTAAGGATCAATTTGATAACCTAGACAAGCATACGCAATGGGGCATTGACTTCTTGGAGAAGTACGCAAAGTTTGTAAAAGAAAGGATAGAGATTGAACAAAACTATGCAAAACAGCTGAGGTAAGTGTTGCATTTTTTGTTTTCCTTTAAAAGAATCATGACAATTACTTAAAAGCACTGCATCATATTATAGGCAAATATGCAATTTCATGGTTAAAGACCATTTTTCATGTACAGAGTGAATTCTTCTTTTCATGTCAGACAATTTTTTCCTGTATTATTCCAAAGCAAAGAATATTATCTTTGGGTATTTGCTTGCTGGCTTGTTTTCTCCTCTCTCCTCCCTACTTCAAATCTTTGAACAAGAAAGATACGTTCAGTGGAATTTTAAGATGAAAACAAGAAAGCCCTACTAATGTTTTTCTGCTGACTATCAGCTTTTTTTGTAGCAAACTTCTCACATTATCCAAAATCTACTTTTGTGTGTGTTCAACCAATTTCAAGTCTCTGCTACTAATTAATTTCTCATGTTGAACTGGCAAGGGCTGTGCTACATTGTGTTTGAAACGTTGAGTAGCTATGCTACATTGTGTTTGCAAAATCTGATTAAAGTTCTGAGTAGAACTGCAGAAAGCAGGAGATCTTCCTGTCCTTTAAAGTGCACCTTTCCCGTAGCCAGTCCTGTTCATTTGAGTGAGACTTTGTAACCCAGCCGCCCTTTGTCTTATCTCCAGTTTACTTTCTGTTGCTGCCAAGTTAAATATCTTTTAGATCCAATAGGAGTTTCTCCTTGGGATCATATAAGGAGAGTAGCAGCAGTGAACTGGCACAGAAACACATTCTTCAGAAGGAAATAGGATTAGTTTCTACTTTAAGTCACAGTGCTTGGAGAACATGATTTAGCATAAATGAGTCGTAAGAAATTTGTATTTACGATAATCCTGCTTTCTTGCATTACCTCGGGGACCCAGTTGAAGCTGCTACCAAACCGGTGTCAGACTTAAACCGATATCAGCTTCTCTCCTTTGCTGTTCTCCTCCTCATCATCATTGGCAGGCTAAGTTGTCCTCAGATAGAGCGCTGAGGAATCCTTTCTCATAAACACTTTAGTGAAATTTATAGCTGAGGAAGTGGATACTCTCTAGGCTGCTTGTTTAGCTTTCCTTCTTGATGTCTTTATCAACTTCTTTTGATCCATTTTGTAAGATTATATCACACTACTTTACTGAAGGATTGTTTTTTTTTCTTAAAAGGAATGAAATAAATACTTCTCACTTTTCCAAAGCTGGCCTACAAGAACTTCAGGAGGTAAAGGAAAGTTTGAAGCATGCACAGCACCAGTTCACATCCTAGTGTTGTTTTGTTTTCTGTTTTCTATTTAAAAATGGAAACTTATTATATTTGCACATCCAGATCTTTTCCTTAAAAAATATGACCAAGTGCCATTTTGCTTAATTATATTTGAAGGTTCCCACAGCTAGCAAGATGAGAAGCCACATTATTACTTTTAGATATGATTAAAAATGGGAAGTCTTTTCTATGCAGCATTTGGGCAAAACACTGATTTTTCTCAAAGTACCTTTCAACAGCAAAAGTATTAGATAGAATACACCTTTTGTCAGGTGACTGGACTTGCTGTGTATGTGCGTTAGTTACAGCAGTTGTGGGAGGCACTGATGTTGCTGCGCATGTGTTGTACAGTGCATGTGTGCACCTCCTGCTTGCTGCCAACCAGGCTCTGGACAGCACACAAGAAAGAGTTTCTGCCAGTAGACCACTTGATGTAACACTTGGTTATTATATCATAGGTATTCCTAGTGAACTATCTTATGATAGCACCTTGATTTCAGCCATCATTTCTTCTGTGGATGCTCGCTGTTGTTAACTGTGTAGCAGAGAAGAATTGCAAGGGAGGGAAACTGAGGTCAAGTGGAGCTTTCACATCCAGAAAGGTTAAGCCATCCTGCAATGCGCTTCTGAGAAGCTCTGAGATGAGCTCGTCTTGGGGATGGGCTGTGGCTGTGGTGAATTGCAACGCTGACAGCATACAGCCTGTGAGCTGCATTTTTGGTATCTCTAATAGGTAGCTTTTCCTTTTGCAATCAGTGTTGAAGATGTCTTCACAATGAGCTCTAGAACTGAAATTTGCTATGTCCTTAATTAGTAGAAGCATTTATGGTCTGTGGCAGCCTCCTGGTACTCCTAGCTCTGTGTTAGTACTTAGATGGGAGACCAAGAAAAAGAATGAATAGGAGAGATGAAGCTACTAGGCGATGTGGTGGCCTTTTTCTTCTGCCTTGGGTTCTGTGGGCCACCAAGTTGCTGTTAAAATTGTTGATAGATCTGAATGTTGTAGACTATTGTATTGATGACTGTGCAAGTAGTTAATGTTAATAAAAAAATTTCATAAATTAGAGTCTATGTCCTGGCAGAAATTCATATTCACTTTATGTTCGTTTTGATGAAGTATCTTTCTGTGCTATTATAACTTAGTGATGAGACTTCTGGATGCAACAGCTGTTCAGAGCCTTCTGGGAGATGGAAAGCAAGTGATGCATATAAGCTTATAAAGAGCTATTTGAATGCATTTTTTGTGTTGTTATTGTTATTATTGTATGAAGTTACTGTGGTAGTTTATGGTTGTGGAGTAATTCCAGAAATGCTAATGACAGTCCAGTTCCAGTGCTTTTAGGTGACAAGTCATTTCTTGCTCCTCTTTGATAGACGTTGATACTGATAAAAGTGCTTAAGTGACATCATTCAAGAAACTGAGGATGTTTATGCAGAAGAAAAATTATTTAGAAGCCTAAATTATCTCCATTTGCCACATTGTTTTCACAAATGCAAATATATTCTCATTTTCAGTATGCTTAAAAAAAAATCTTAAAATTGGTTTGGCTTTGGTTTCAAGTAACACATTGTGATGTCCGAAGAAGATGAAGGTTATTGGTTATATACTGAGTTACAGGGGCCTGAATTGGGACAGATACGCTGCAGTGTGCATTGTGCACTCACAGGGTTCAGTTTAGTTACGTGACTGTTCAATTTCTTGTTGTTTTAAAAATTGGAAATAAAAGGAGTTCCAGTATGTGCCAAATTACTGGGCTCTTGCAAAATTTTGTAATTGAATTCTCAGATGTTGTTTGTGTCCAGACAGTTATTGTTCCTGGGAGGGGCAAAGGTCTGTTTTGTTGCTTCCTGTTCCTGACACAGAGTAATTCTGGAGGTTGCCTCCCTTCTTGTTCTGTCTGAAGCATTGTGGCACTTTTTCAGAAGTTGCTTTTTCTGTGATGTTAGGCAGTAGTACAAGTTACACACATAGTTACAGACTGAACTCCTGTGGAAGTCGGATTTCTGTATTTGGTCAAATTCTCTTAATCGGTAGTGAAAGGAAATGATAAGGCTTGTTCTTGAACAAAGTGTTTTCTTATTAGAATTGTACATCATGATCTCTGGACATATCTAGGTGTTCTAAGCAAATCTAGTTTTAGTGTTCTTAGTATTTCCTGCTGCAAAAATAATCCTTCTAAGTGGTTTATTTTTGTAAATATATTAATGTATGCATATATACAATAAAATATAACAGCTTAGATGCTTTGGTATATATGCAAAAACTCAGAAAAGTTATTTAGTATCTATGTAAGCTCAAATGTGAGGTTGGGAACACAAATTGTCACCATATTTGTTTTTCTGTGTTTCTCTGTTTTCTGTTTCTCTTTTCCTTTGATTGGAGATGAGAATTTAGGCCATTGAAGATTATCCAAATGTGGATGGATGTGGCAGTTTTTTTTAAGTAATGTTTCTGCTTGCAAAGCATGTGAGTTCTTAACTGTTCCAAGGATATTCAGTTTTGTAAACTTGAATTAAGTTTTTTTGTTGTTGTTGTTTTGTTTTGTTTTTTTTTTTTAAAGATTCATCTCCTCAGCCTTTTCTGATAAGGTAGTGTTCCTAGCTGTACTTAATTGTCCTTGTCTGTTTTCACCCAATCTGTATGCTTATGGCATCAGTGAATTCATCAAAACGCTCTTGAAAATACTACTTTTCATGTAAATTTGAAGTGCCTTACGGCTCTAATTGCATTGTTCTAGAATTTGTGAAGAAAGGTATGTTACCAGACCTTTTTGTAACATCATGTGGAGTCTGTAAAAGTTTAGTGTAAATACATACAACAATACTTGAGCAGTTACCTTCACACCTCTTCTACAGTATTGTTGATGTTACTTCCATTTCTGCGTTGTCACTGAATAAAAAATAGTTTTGAGTTCATTGGCCCACTTTTGGTACAAATGTCTATAAATCTGTACAGATGACTGCAACTTCATTTGAGACTGACTTACACAGAAGAGAGAAGCTGACAAGATTAAAGGAGCAGCACAAATTGAACGTGATTAGTCCTATATGAAATCTGCTTCCAGATGGCTATAAAACAGAATGTGGTTGAAGTCTAGATTGTGCATCTAGAGAAGCTTGGAGTTTCATCAGTCTATGCTTTTAAAAGGAAGTGTAGCACAATTTCTCCTCTAGATTTAGTTCAGTTCTGATGTCCTGCAATTACTTTTATTGCTTTTACAGAGTCACTGTTGCTTAGGTCTGTCACTTGCATTTTTGTGCTTTTATTTCCTAGGAATAAAAAGGAAAAAAAGAAGTGTAAGGGAGAATCTGTATTTGTTTTTAATTTTGTTGCAACATCCTTGTGGTTGCTGATTGACTCATCGTATCTGAGTTCATTTGTCCTTGGAGAATGTCATAGGAGGTGACGGTCTGAGATTGCTGTACTGCCTTCTTGAAAGACTTCTGCTCTGAGTGGTTGAAAATTGGTCTGACTGGCTGATGGTCATTTCTGATCACTGCTAACATCAGCAGGATTTGTACTGATGGCTAGGCAACAAAGTGTTTGTATTCCATTGCCAGGCTTTTGTTTTCTCTCCTTTCGAATACAGCAGAAAGTTAAACTCTCGCTGAAAGTACTTATTTCACCAAGTTACTCTTGTCATACTGTTAAGTGCCCCTAAGGACTTAATTATTTTAAATTTTGAAGCTCTGCTTGAAGTTCTCGAGTATATACATACACGTATGTATACATACATACATAAAATCCCCACTAGAGAGACACCTCTGCAGATATGTCTGGGGAGCAGAGCAAGGGGCTCCTGCTCCAGCTGGTCATGGGCAAGGACTTCTTCTAAATTAACTACAGTTGAAGAAGGGTCACTCCAGATGTTGTATGAGGATGTGTTTACACAAGTGTTCTAGTCTGTGTCTAGAATGCGCTTTACAAATGAATCTATTCATTTGTTCCTGTTTATTCCACGGCTCACTCGTGGGGAGTGATCTAGAGGGACTCAAGCTGGGCTTCTTTCCAGAGAAACCGAGTTATGGGAGGTGCACTTGGTGGTGGGTTTTTTGCCCATGGAACCAGGACAGTGCTACTTCAAAGTCAAACCTTCTGAAATGACTATAGTGTGAACATGGAATCCTTAGCATCATTCCTTGGCTGTAAAGATCTAAACCTGTTAAACCACTCTGATTGCTGCTTTCGATATGCTGTAAGGTTGGAGTATTGTAGGCAGACTAGTCCAGTTCTGTATTTGGGTCCAAGGAATTGCACACAAGTTTAGATGAAAATGGTGATGAACCTCCACACACACACCAAGTGTCAACTGACTTCTCTTTGGAATGCTACTTTACTCCTCATATCTTCAGATCTACTCTCATTCTAACTTCTAGTCAGTAATTTTTTTCAAGAATTTAATTTCTCAGCTGTATTCTTTTGTGGTGATCTTCACTGTTTTAAGAAGGCATTTATGCTTCATTTATTATTCATATGCATTCCTGCTTTTTCTTTGCATTTCTGTGCAGTTTGCCTAAATTCTGCATTTGTTGATCATTTCATATTCAATAACTTTGAAGATTGTCATATGTGTTGTTGCTTTAGCTTTATGGCCTGATCACACAATACCTTTAAACTTCATCCTCCTGTGATCCTAAATGCAGCTAGGATTTAGTAATGACTGATGAATATAAATAACATCGTGATTAACATAGCTTGAATTTTATTAGGAAGAAGGCTTGTTTAATATTCTTTGCTCTTCTTGTGATTGTAAATAGTCATATTAAAGAGTAAAACTAGAGCAGAAATCAGCAGGCTAGTAAATGATCTATGCTTGTGACCCAGCTTCCCTGTCACTCCAAACTGTATATTTTATATTAAGTGGCTTTTCTCATTTGTAGATCTCCAAAGGTCTCCTCTTGAAAGGCTCTTGCGTGGTTGCTTAGTGACAGCATTGTGCACTTGTTATGCTGTTCACCTTCAGAATAATAATCAGGTGAATTTTAGGAGCTTCCCACTTGTTCATAAGCTCTGAGGAGCTGTGCAGAAATGTAATGCAAAATCAAATATGGGGATATCACTTGGCTGAGAAGGCTGTTCTTTTTTGAGCTGGGTTTATGCGGTTTCCAATCAAGATACCTTTTAATCTCTACCAGGTAAAAGTTTAAAACATGCAGAGTCTTCTGGTGATACTGAAGAAAAATTCTTGCTTTGATTTAAAGCTTTTTTTTGTTTGTTTGTTTTGTTTTGTTTTAGTCTGTGAATATAGAGAGACAAAGGGTCCAACTTGCGGCTTTGGCAGTGACTCCCTGCTCGTGTTTTGGTGTGTGCTCCATGACTGAACACAGTCTCATCACTTACGTCATCACTTAGGGATAATCGCTAACTCCCAGCTACATGGGTTTGAGAAATTGTATGATGTTGTTTTAGATGAAGCATGACTAGCAGCCCTGTTGCCAGCGATAAGATGGGTCGCACTTTGTTGCAAATTCCATGCAGCCAGAGGAAATGCCATTTAAAAAATTGCATTTAAGATTTTATCTCATACAATATTCTCATCCTCCTCCTTCTCCTGCATCGGTAGCACCGTAACTGCAGACTGATTTTTCTAATACAGTTACATGCTTTTCTCATGTATTCAGCATGTGTTTTCAGCTCTATTAGTAATTATTTGAGGAAATAAAGGATATTTGTCTCAGTTATTGTTGGAGAGACAGTTGGAAGACTTAAGTCCTGAGGCCAATTAAAAGATTACTGTTAGAGGAGCAGTAACCCCAAAACCCCAAAACATTCTTTGCATAATCGGGATGCATCTCTCAGGAATGCACTTGGAGCAATGAGCAATGCTCTTTGGCAAGCTGGAGACAAATACTGTCATCCCCCNAAAAAAAAAAAAAGAAAAAAAAAAAAGGCAGGCATCATTATTTAGAGGTGTGTGGAAAGATTCCTAATTGCCAGCATTCTCTTTAATTTCAGCTTTATAAAGCAAGAAATTGGCATGCCTAATTTTCTGCTGAGGATGCTAATTGACACTTAAAATATTACCTTGATAGTTTGGATGATGGATGCCCATCATTTGGGTACCCATCCATCTGGTCACACAGGAGGATGTGGGCACACAGTATAAAATGTATTAGTGAGTTTTTTATTAAGTGGTTGTAATGCTTGAAAAATAAGTGAATTTTTGTGGGATTAGGAGTTTTTTTTTAATAACCGATATATTTATTTGAGTAGTAGAAGACCTTTTCAAATTCTTTTTATGGCTTTAAAGAAGACATTGCAACTGAGGTGCATCATGTCTGATTCCAAGGAACACAGATGTTGAGGACTGAGTAAAAATCATATGTGTTACCTTCCCCCCCTTTTTCCCCCTCTTTCATTTGAGAAAAGTCTGTTCTTTGCTTATAGCACAGTATGTTCTCTCAGGGAAGGGAGAGGAACACCAGTGGAGCTCTAATTCAATTTTTCTACTTCATGGAAGGAACAGTCGATTTTGAAAATTGCTAGAATAATCCCTCTCTCCAGCCCCCTACAGTTGAAGTTATGACCTCTCCATACTAGAAATGTGAGGAGAATTGTGGATTTTTCTTTTCAAGACTGACAGCATGTGTCTTCTGAGATACCAAAAATTTTAACCGACTTAATTTATTATTATCAGGAAAACGTTTATTGTAAGGGCAGAACGCTTTGCAGTAAAAGGAGTGTACTTAGAAATACTCCCGCAAGCAAAGGTCGGCTCAGAGGAAGGTTTGAATATGGCAAACAACTATCAATTGTTTTCTTTCTTTCTCTTTTCTTGTCCTGTCTGTAAAATTATGCAACTTTGTTTCATTTTCATTACAGGGTCCTAGCTATACAGTTGCCAGCATAATAAAGAGTGATGTTTGTAGTAAGGTATAGGCAGCTGCACATGTTCTGCACTTGTTTTTGTAAGCACTGTACAACTGTATTAGCCATACTCCAGACTGAAGCAGGTTTTGTTATTCGTATGGTTCATAAGTGTTGCTTCTGTGCTGTGTTCCTGTCTGAGTTCTCAAAAATAAACTTGGGTTGTGGTGTGCTGGAAGGTGGTGGAGGTTTCTCCAGGCCTCTTGCACAGATCTGCTTAGTTTGGGAAAGCCTCAGCCTCCCGTTTGTGACACTGGTGGCAACACCCAAGGTGATACTGTCCCTTGGAGAGATGCGGTCTCCTCTGTTCCGGACGCTGCTTATTGAAGATTTGGATGTGTTGTGGCTAAAGGCACTGCTGTGAATGGATTCTCAAAGCTTAAACCAGGCATGGAGTTTTGTGCTCATGGATACAGCATGGGTGTTACGTATGCCTGTCACAAAGCTATCATAGGTTTGCTTTTTTTTCTTGATTGCTGGTCTATTTTGCATGCTCGGGGAGGAATTGAAATAAATGAAATAAATGATTATTTTATCTTTAGTCACTGTGCAATAGAGACTGCAGAATATTTACAAGTGCATTGTTGGTTCTAAGTGTTACAAGTGTTGAAATGCCATAGTTCTGCCTAGTGTTCACTTAGGGACCCTTGTAAGTTTATAGAGTGAATAGATTTGCTCCTGGAAGTCATTAAAGAAAAACTGTTTGTTAATGCTGTTTGTCGTTTGTCTGTTTTCTCAGAGGAGATTCTAAATCCTGTTTTTTCTTCTTCCTTAATAGAAACCTGGTTAAGAAGTACTGTCCTAAACGTTCCTCCAAAGATGAGGAGCCCAGGTAAAAATGTGCATTTCAAGTTCTGTGTATACAAAGCAAAGTCCACAGTACTGCAGTATATTTTTAGTTGTGGTTTTCTGGAGTTTTTCTTTTTTAATTGTTTGTTCTAGAAAACTTTTAAGACAACAAAAGCATGAAGTAATTCTTAGGCATAAACAGTCTGTTTACTTTAATTGAGCTCTTGCAGATTAAACCTCATTAGACAAAATCTGGGTATTTTTATGCCATGTATGTTCCATATTTTTTTTAATAGGAAAACAATGATTTGTGCTTAGGTTCTAGCTTTTATTTAGCGCATTAGGGGTTTTTTTTTGAGTATATATATTGCAGTATGAATGTAGCTATGCAGACCTGGAACTTAAGTCTATGCAAAATTGTCACATTTTTGACTAGAAGAACTTATACCTCTTAAACTTCTGACTCATTTTGATTTTTAGAGACAACAAAGAGTACTTATTTTGATGTCCATGTCCATTGTCATTTTTTATTTAGAAAAACACTTTTTTTTTTCAAAGGCATAAATAAAATGCTTGTGAGTAGAAGTGTGTGGGCTGGACTTCAGGTTGCAACCAGAGCATATACTGTGTAGAGAGTACCTGGGAGTCCATGCTAGGACTTTTGCTAGTTCTTTTTATTCTGTTCAAAATCCTGGACCTTAGGAAACAGAATTTCTCGTTCTAGGATGGCATTTCAATTCCAGAGAGGCGAGCCTATGGAGATGGCTCTATTCCACAGTTAAAGAGAGAAAGATGCATATTTTAATATGGTGCATGTTGTTTTTTTTTCCTTTCTTCCCTTCCACACACACTTTTTCCACCCTTTGCCCCTCCTCTTCCCCCTTTTTAGTGCCAGCCATAGTGGCACCTTACTTCCAGCCAAGAGGTGGGCAGGCAAACAGGCAGCTGTCTTCAGAGCTGATAGCAAACTTGTTCTGTAGATCATCCATCGGGATGCATAGGAGTGGTATGATTGGCATGTTCCACCCTCAAGACCACCAAGCACATCATCTCTGCAGCAAGTTGAGCCTCCGAGCCTAGGGATGTATGTATCCCATCCCAAGCTCAGGCCTCTCAATTGGCAGCTTAGGAGATACCACTATACCACAGGGCTCTCCAGGTAGTAGTATTCTTCTTCTTTCTTTTCCATCCACAAAAATCCATATTCTTATAAAATGTATTTCAAGAGACATTGAACATATATTATGTGCTAGGCTCAATGTAGGCTTTCCCAACTTGCATTTCTGCTGTAATTCAGTACTCGAATCAGCACTGAGATAAGGTTTATTGTAAAATGTGTCTGACTTCATCATTGTATATATGCACCTCATTTAATTTTAAAAGAAAGTCTATTAAAAAACCTTTTTCACTTTCTGTGTGTGTGTGTGTGTTCTGTCAGGTTTACTTCGTGTATAGCCTTTTTCAACATCCTCAATGAGTTGAATGACTATGCAGGACAACGAGAAGTAGTTGCCGAAGAAATGGGGCACCGAGTATATGGAGAATTGATGAGATATTCTCATGATCTAAAAACTGAGAGAAAAATGGTAATTTCTATCTCTTAATTTGGTAAGAGGATATCAGAGTAGATATATCTATGAAAGAATTGATATTTTTGCCCAGCTTCATGAACTTGGCAATAAGTGGGTTTTATACTTGTATTTTTATGTGTTGGCTTGCTACAGTTATTAAAATCTGAAAATTAAGATCGTGGTAGGTAGTGCTTATGAGTGCTTACTTACTTTCGAGTGTAATTTTTCATCTGTAGTACTGTTATCGCCTGATTAGTAATTATCTTTCAAAAAGGAGTACTGATAACTTCCTGGAGTTACAGCACAGCATAATGTGTGTAGATTAGAGCAGAAGCTTGTTAAAGCTGACAGTATCCAAAATACATGTAAATTAATCCTATTTGTGATGTTTCCAGCATCTTCAGGAAGGACGAAAAGCCCAGCAGTATCTGGACATGTGCTGGAAGCAGATGGATAATGTAAGTTTTTGAGTTTTTTGTGTCAAATTTAACAATATTCCATCTGTAAACAGAACTTGTCATTTTAGTTACTTAAACAGTATTTAGATATATTATTGAATGGACAAGTCTGATTTACTGATATCCAAAATACAGTCAAATAAATATGAAATTCACTGCACTAAGCACTTCTTAAGTAAATAACACTGTTCTTGCAGGGGCATGCAATTAGGTCTCCAAATTTTTCAACTTATTTATTTCATCTTCTCATAAATGAAAAGTGACTATTAATTATTCTCTAAGCAAAAAACAGCCTACTGATAAGCAACAAAAAAAGTCTGTAACCAAATTAAAAAGTGGTTCCTCCACAGTTAGGTAAAAGCCAGAGATTCACTCACACACACGGTTGTCATTTACAGTGATGTGTTTTTTTTTTTTTTTTTTTTTTTTAAATGCAGTGAATTAAATGAACTTGCTTAAAAGTTTACTTAATTTAAGGTCTTTATTTAAATGGGAGTCTTGATAATTAGAATTCAAAGTTACAAAATGAAAATAGGGTAATGGCTGCTGATGCCATAAATCTGTGTTCCTTGTAGAGTAAAAAGAAATTTGAAAGAGAATGTCGAGAGGCAGAGAAGGCCCAGCAAAGCTATGAAAGACTGGACAATGACACTAATGCCACAAAGGCTGATGTTGAGAAGGTAAGAGTGGTGCCGTTTCTTTCTTTCCTTTCCCTTAACTATAACTATATTTTATTTGCCTGTTTATCATCATCAGTACTGGGACAGCATTCTCTGAGTGTATAAAAGTGTATTATATGTATATATTTGCTGCATATATGCAAAATCAAAGTTACTGTAAAATGTAAGGTAGTGCAGAAGGGGAGTATCCTTCTTCTTTATTCTCCAGATGATACTGCCTGGGTTATCTTTCTGCAGCAGGCAGGCTTACTGGTGTCTTGTATCTTGTGGGATGCATTTAGCTGAGTTCAGTCACTTCTGTATCTTTTTTTTGGATATGAATTTAAGAAACTTGCCTAGGGGCCTAAAACCATGATGCTTTCTCTGTGTATAATACAGTAGGTCTGTAGGCTATCAGTATAAATTAAGGTTCACTTTCTTTTTCAATTATAACAAACATTTCAGCTTCAGTGATTATTGTGATTAGTGTTTTTACATGGTTGGTGGTACCAAAGCTATATATCTTCGAAAAGCACAGGACATGTTTGAACCTTTAACACTTTCCTACTAGGCTAAGCAGCAGCTAAACCTGCGTACACACATGGCTGATGAAAACAAAAATGAATATGCTGCACAACTACAGAATTTTAACGGGGAGCAACACAAACACTACTACATTGTTATTCCTCAAATTTATAAGGTAAAACAATATTTAACAAGGATATCTTATTTTCTTTGGAGGAAGAAATAGATTTTAAGGCTTTTGTATTTAGAATTTTAGTAGATAATTTTCTTAGGAAATCAGCATAATCTGATGCAGTCAGATATTACCATAGTCCATGGAAATCTTGAAAATAATATAAAAAGCCAAAGTAAGACTTTGCAAGACATCTCCTGAAAAGGAAATTTCTCAAAGTGGTTTGTACGTCTGCTAAGGAAGAAATGCTTTCAAAAACAAGGAGATCTTGCAAAACTAGTTTAAAGCAAGATAACTGAGGAGCACTAGCAGAAGGAGTTGTCAGAAATGTAGCAGAATGTATGTTCAAGCATCTGGGAAGAATACTGTGACTGTAGAATTTGACTCTGAGAATCAGTGAGGAAATGGAAGATAAGTGAGTGTTGACTTTATTAAAAGTAGAGAATGGGCAATAATTTCCAGAAGCACGGGGGAGTTGTTTTTTTTTTTTTTTTTTTTTTTTTTTTTTTAACAATTCTTTATTTGATGGTGCAGAATTCGCAGGAAGAAAATGTCTTGCTTTGTTAAAGGCTCTTTAAATATTTTAACTGACAAGCAGCGCTTCAATGGTTCTGACATTTGCAGGCTAATGGAGGAATAGCAGCCATCTCCCAGGAGAAACAGTACACTTGTCTTTGAAGTAGAGATTTATTTTATTGACTTTATTTCTCTAGGTTTAAAATCTGTTATCACTGTGAGATATTACTCATGTTTTCTGAAATCTTTAATAAGAGTAGAAATCAAAACTTTACTTTATGCTTGCAGCAACTTCAAGAAATGGATGAAAGAAGGACTATCAAACTTAGTGAATGTTACAAAGGTTTTGCTGACTCTGAGCGCAAGGTTATTCCAATCATCTCAAAATGTTTAGAAGGAATGATTCTTGCAGCAAAATCGGTTGATGAACATAGAGTAAGTAAAGTTGAGCTACTTTTTTGGGGGTATGTGAACAAGTTAAATGATTTATCCTGTCCTTTTTTGTGTTGCTTTAAGGCACCTTTACGTGCCTTAAAGGTGGTGTGATTGCAGTTCTTAGCCTACCTGGTCACTTCCATTTTGGTGTCAGTTCCCTTTACGTGTCTTTGCTTTCTTGTGATCTCAGGTTCAGTGATGCCTCCTCACTTTGTATGAATTTGAACCCTTTGCTTTGGTTCTCTGGAATAATTCACAATACCAACGTGATTCTTACGTTCCACAGCATATGGCATCGAAACATTTAAGGGTAGCCAGTTAACAAAGTATCATTCTTTACCATTTTCTTTGACTGCAGTTATTCTCTGTTGAACATATCTACTTTTTTCCCATTCACCTAATAAGGGTTGTTTTCTGTTATCTTATTAAATCTGTTTTGTTTGTGTTATTTTCAACTAACTTCAGTGCTAATTTTGAAGGATCATAAGATGTAGTAATAGCTTGCCCTTAAAGTATATCCTATTCCAAATCTGTGATGAGCTGTGAGGGGTATTTGGTGGTTCTGAATAGCAAGATATGCTTTGATTTGCACTCTTGGTAACACTGCTGAGAAAAAAATAAATGGATGTATTCAAAAGTGTGCATTTGATGTTCTCTCTCATCTTCCCATCTCAGCACTTAAAAGAAGAACTTATGTCTCTGTTTCTCTCTTTATATCTGGATGTCTTTGCTTGTTTTTAAATTCTTTAATGTCCTATCTTTAGGACTCCCAAATAGTGATAGATTGCTTCAAATCTGGTTTTGAACCTCCTGGAGACTTTCCATTTGAAGATTATAGTCAGAATATTTACAGAACTATCTCTGATGGAACCATCAGTACACCAAAGCAGGAAGGAATGAGAATTGATTCAAAAACTACCGTGGGCAAGGCGAAAGGAAAGCTGTGGCTGTTTGGAAAGAAGCCAAAGGTAACAATTACAAAATTACTATTCAGAAAATTAAAATGTGAAGATTCAGTGTGTGTGGAAGTGGCAATTATTTAGTTTCCTCTTGCCCTTACTTTCTTTTTGAAGATGTAAAATGAGATCGGAAGGTTTGAATGGGGTTGGGCATGTGTAGAAAATATCAAGAATAGCAAATTTTACTTTTATGGAAATTTTAATTGGGGAAGTCTTGCAGTTTTTCTTCTGTTGATTTGTGTCCTGGATTTTTTTAATACTTATTTGATATTCTATATAGTTTTAAACAGTGCAAATAAAAATAGATTTCCATTTCTATAGCATTTTTAATTTACTGTAAAAACTCTGACCTACCATAGGAAAAGTATTAATCTGGATAGTAATATAAGCAGAAAGGATTGGGGAATTATGCTTTAGAATCAAGCAAATGTCAGATCTCTCTTATATTAATAAAAGGAAATTCTTTAAATGTCATCTTTATATATATGAGTATTATGTAGATTATTATCTACTTGCATCTTTTGCACTTTTGAAGTTTGTCTGAAAACGTTAAGGTTTTTCATATCTCATTGAAGCATCATACGGGTAAATCTTATAAATGAAATGTAACTATCAAATAGATTTTTAAAAATTACACTCAAGAAAAAAATAGAGAAATTGCTCTTTCATATATAATTATTTTAGTTTCAAGTGTCACTTTCTCTGCATATGCCTTTATGGGTCAGCAAAAAGATATTTATACAAATTCTGCTATAGAAGTTATTAATGATAATATATGTGTTTAGATTTTATGTTAGGCCTTTATTTAGCATTAAAGCCTATCAGTCATTTTAATGATGTCCACAAATTTCAATGAGGCTTCTGTCTGGTGAAATTAAAATAATTTATTACAGGAAATTATTTGTAGTCCTTTTAAGCAGTAAAACTTGTTTTCCCATTGGTAGTATTCTAAGCAAGCAGGTCTTCTGTACAGAAAGAAAGGATCTATCTGATTCTTTATTCTCTCTTTGGTGTATTATGTGACTGTAGCTGCGTGCTAGCCATGAAAACTGATTATTAACATTTCATGCAATATACTTATTAGCTATACTTTATCAGTGCAAAATCTTAGCATATTTTATTGCATTTGCCTACAAGGATAGATAAGATTCAGCCTGTTCTGAAATGAGAAGGTCACTACCACTTTGAAAATAAGATTTAGTGAGAATTTTGGTCTCCTTCTCTGGAGAGTGAGGCTGTAAAAATCTGTTAGTTTACAAACTGGATTTTGGCCCTTAATGTAATTGCAAAAAAATCCTGAGTTTGAGAACTGCTGAAGGAAGCTGGCAGGGTGTTCACTCCTGCACTCTTTTTGCTTCCTGATTTGTTCACATTATATGTTGGTTTTGGATAGCTTATTGTTTCCTATATGGAATTACAGCTACACATATTTATGTATATACGTACATGTGTGTCTACCTTGAGTGCCTCCGTGAAATGGAAGTTTATGTCCTTTTTCTCGCTCCTTTGGGAGAAATGAAGAAAAACAGATCAACTGGGAGCAGAACACTTTTCATGATCGATATCTGGTTTTAACTTCAAATATCCTAGTAACTTGATAATAGGATATTCTTACACTGGTTTATTATAACTGGAGTGTTGATGGTGGGCTTTGGGCCTTGATTTAGCTGAAACTGTGACTGTGCTTGACGTTGAGATACCCTATTTACCTGTTTTAATACAGTCAAAGACAGAAAAGTATTTTGGAAGGGGAGCGACTTATGCAGCAGAAAAACGAGTAGAGAAGAAACATTCAGATGAAAACTCAGCAGAGCTATGAAAGAGGAAAGAAAGAGGGAAGCAATTTAAAGCAAGTGGAGGAGGTTCTAGTGGTGGTGTTCGGGAAAGTCAAGCAGCTACTCTGTCAGCCCCATTGACTATTGAAATTGAATCTGCTGTTTATTTTGGTCACTTTGCATAGGTGCTCCTGTAGCTTAGCTGTCCAGATGCACTGAAAAAAGGCTGACAGACTCGTAGGAAGAAAAGCAAGGAGTGCAGAGGCTGCCAGGGTGACTGTGACTAAAGTTAGAAGAAGCCAAACTTCCTGCTTTAAGCAAAGAGACAGGCAGCTTTGGTATTTTTAGGACTTTGCAGAAGTGGGGTCTAAAGCTGTCTTGGATATTACTCCGTTCTCTGCACCAACTTGGATTCTCAAAATTAATTCATGACAGAAACCTATTAAAACCAATGCAGATCTAATATAAAAGCGTTTGTGGAACATGTTACAAACTTTTTCTGTGTTGGATGGAAATTTTGTTTTTGTAAGACAGAATTTTCATTTTGAAATCACTGTGAACATTTGGCTTATTTACTGCTTTCTCTATTTCCATGTTAGCCACAGTCCCCACCCCTAACCCCAACTAGTTTATATACATCCAGTACTCCTAATGGGTCCCAGTATCCCATATTCTCCATTGAACCAGTGCATTATTGCATGAGTGACATAAAAACAGGGAAGCCCAGAATTCCTTCTTTCAGAAGCCTCAAAAGAGGGGTAAGTTTGATAAAAAATTGAAATGCATGATGGGCTATGAGCAGTGTGTTTGTGATGTGGCTTTTCTGATGCTCTTCACCCTCATTATAAGGCTTATTCTATTAAAACACTCTGCTATAAGGACACTTCTAGGATACTTCATTTCACATTATACAGATGCTTTGAATAGGTTAAAAAAATAAAAAAGCTTCTCTTTATAACATTGCAATTACTTATGCCCAGAGAAAGGTGTTATAAAGAGGGTGCTCAGCATATGTATGATACCTTTTTCTTCACCTTTTTCTTTTTTCCCATTCACAAATGTTTTCCTCCCGTCATGTAACACATTTCTGCAGTAATTCATCATTGGCTATATAGTCTTCACAACAAAATCTGACAAATGTTTGCTGACTTTTGATTGAAATAATAGTAGTTGGTTTATGAGACAACAAACTAAGAAGGGAGAAATTCATTTCTCTTTTGTACATCAAATGCTGTAGTGTGAAGTGTTTGCAGATTCTGAAATACTATTTTACTGTGTTTTATGATTAATAGTTAAATTGTTCCTCTTTGCTCAAGGTTCTCTCACATAAAATCACTTATTCTTACAAAATGCCATTTTGTGAGACTTAGCAATATAATTACTAATTTATAGTGGTATATTCTGCAAATAGAATTTGTTCAAAAGATAGTAGGAATGAAATATTAAGTGGTTTCCTAGCAACATACATGGTACTAGTGATAAATTTCTTGTTACATCAGTGAAACACAGGCTGGCCTGTTTATTTCACTTTTATGGTATTTATTGATCCATCTAATGGGATAATTAGGTGCATTTGATTATATATAATTCATGGCTTTCTGATATTTGAAAACAAAACTGACCTGCCGTCTCGGTTGTGCAGCAACAGCGGGGAGATCAGAATACAGTATTGCAGTAAAACTTATGTTTTATAGGCTTCCTCACTGTCATTCTGAGTTATAATTGGTTATGCTTAAAATCAGTTTATTGCTTACACACATGAGGACATGTTATTTTAGACACCCAGATACTTTGGGTCCCACCCTTTATACCACTACTGTTTTTAGAAGATTTTTCTGCTCCTTTTAAATATTTATGGGAGACAGATTCTGCTTTCTCCTCCTGAATCACTTCTATGAGAATGGGCTTTGGTGGTGAAGATAATGTTCTTTAGGATTCGGTGAGGAGCTGGATAATGGCCTTAGTAACTCAGGTCTTGATTATGCTCCCTTTCTATTGATCTCTAAATGTATCAGCTCCTGGCTTATAAATCAAAGCTTTACTAGTTCTGGAGTTTCCTACTGAAGTAAAAGCATAGCTATAGCTACTGAATGCCACTGGAAAATGAAAATATACTTTAATTTTGTATTTTTACAATTTGCCGATCATATTGTTGAACATAATATGTGGAGTGGTATTCTTGTAATATTAACTTGGATGATTAGTATCCTACAAATCTAATTTTAACTCAAATATCCTACAGTATCAAATACTTAATCTCTGTAAATCTTCAGGGTGAACTTTTAAAAAATATTTTTAAATAACCCTGAGAGCATTTTAACATGTACTACATTATCACCTACTAAGGGCCTTTTCAATTTCACTATATATTGTAATTCTGGTAGATTTTGTGTGTTTTAGTGATTAGTTTTATCTTTTCAGTATATTTTGCTTCAGTGCGAGCTGCTAGCACATCACCCTGTGGTTTGTCCCTGCAAACTCTGACCAAGTGGTAGCTATAGGCAGAGCTCTTGAGGGGTCATTTCCATTTGCTTTGCTTTCCACTGTGGTTTCTCCCGAGTGGGTGTGAGGAGCGGCGCTGCTGGCTCCCCGTTTTGCCTTGTGCAGCATTTCGGCCCAGTTAGGATCACCAAAGGAAACTCCCACCGGCCGCTGCCTGCATCCAGTCTTCCCCCTTCGGCTTCACAGACCAGGCAGCAAACAGTAGCTTCAGTTACCAGTGCGTGCAAAGAAGAAAATAGCTTATTTTTAAAAAGTCTAAATGTAGCTATTACATCTTTTTATTAGTAATACTACTAGATGCTTTTTGTTTTTCTCTAAATTACAACATTTCCAGATAGTGTTAGAACTTCGCACTTGGCTTGAAGCCATGTGATACTTAACTGCTTATGTCAGAAACAACATGTAAGATTTGCCTGCATTTTCTCGGAAGATTCCCTTCAAAAAAAAAAATTGTTTACAGACATTTTATGTCCTTGGGCTTTGCCGAGGTTCCTGCCGAGCTGCACGAGTGAAGGTGCTGCTCTTCCCTCGCGCTGCTGCCTCTCTGCGCGTGCCCCACTGCGCAGCCCCAAGAGCTGCTGCGGCTCCTGGCTGCCGAGGGGGACACGAGTCCTCGCTGCGGGACGGCAGCCCCCGTGCCCCTGGCTTGGTGCTGGCTGCAGGGCCTGCCCACAGTCACGGACAAGCTGCACCATCTCCAGAACACTCTGACTTGTTAAAGCCAAGATACGACCCCTGTCACCTCAGCTGCTTTGTTGCTTTCTCTGAAGAAAGTTTTTACTTTTTGAAGCTATTTATTTTTATCTAGACTAAAGTATTTTCAGGATAGCAGCTATGACCAAAAGATGGTGTTCTTAAAAAAAAAAAAAAAAAAATTATTAAAAAACGGCTTTTGCACTTGTATTCTTTTGAGATACTTGAGATAATGTGATAAATACATTTTAAAACTCTATTTGTAGAAGTGATGCTCATGGGTTGTTAGCTGTGATTAAGTCTTTGCATCTGACTGACCAGTCTTTCCTTCATTGTCATCAAAGTCTGCTCTTTGTGCAGTGTTGCCTGTGTGTTTGTTTCTTCTCTTACAATAGAAGATCTTATGTATTTTATTCAAAATACTTAAATTCAAAAGTAGTCTAATGAAATTGTGTTGGTATTTCTTATGTACAAGTCATTATCATTTAGTGTAATTTTAAAAACAGTAATTCTAAATGCAGAACTGCATTTCAAATCCTTGTATTTTGCTGTTCTTGTGTTTACAGTAAAATGTATTTCTTACAAATTACAACTTTGATATTTTAGCTAATATTTAAAGATACATTCTTAGGCATTAATCATTTTCTTACTTAACCAGTGGTTGCATGTGAATAATTTCCCGTTTCTTTCTGTTTTCAAATGAACTGTGCAGTGGTCGGTGAAGATGGTAAGCCCGTGTGCTGATCTGTCTGCTGTACTTCTGCTAAGATAGCATGAAAGTATCTCTTGACAGTGTTTCCATATCATAACTGCTTTAAACCAGGTGCTGAAATACATCTCAGATTTTCCACCTCATCACAGTCTTCTTTTTAGCTGTCTGTGCTTAATGTGAGAGGAGACTTGCGATCTGGCTCCAGCCAAATCTGTTGTTTTGGAGTTTTGGGGCCAGCCAGTAAATGTGAGCTGGTCATGAAGGAAAGAACAATTTCTGTTTGTCAGGAAAATTGTTAAAGCAGCATAAAATAGGTGTGTGAAAAGATTTCAATTTTTGTCTAAAGGAGAAATACTGAATGCTGTAAAATTCAACCAAAAAATTCCAGGGACAATGATCCTTCATATTCAGCTATATTACAAAGCTGTTACATTAGATGAAAACTAAACCTTGATCAGTAGCCCTGTTTTGCAGAGCAAATTAGTGGAATTCATAGTTGTTCTGATTTTTACTGTAGGATACTGTTTTTAACTGACCTGCAAGGAGCGATGATGAAACAGAATGTTCCCATCTTCTCTTGTTTCTTTGTAGTGCATAAAAGGCAAGAAATGATTCCCCCCGAGCCCCAAGGAACTACTGCTGCTTTATATTGGAAACATCCGATCTTGATTTCCTTTCTTGAATGCTGTGACTGAAAAAGCAGGGGGATTCTGATTTAAAGAGTGCAAAAGAACCAAGTAGTAGAGAGAGGTTTTTGTTTTGTTTTGTTTTAAGAGAGGCTACTTAAAAACCCAGAAGCTGTCAAGATTAAAACCCTGGGCACGTGGGCCTGCAGTTGCTTCTGCCAAACCCCGGACCGTCCGGTTTCTGCCAGGGTCCCTATTCCCGCAGGACCCGCCCGGCGGCTGGGCTGGCCGCCCTCAGCCCTGCGGCAGTGGGAGTGTCCTACTCGGCTGGTAGCCGATGTACTGGCCTTCTCTGTGACTGAGATAGGCACCTTATTTCCTTCCTCCTTAAAAAGCCCTGAGCGTGTCTGTCACCTGAGAGGAGGAATTTTCACAGCAAACCCAAAGGTTAATGGGGGAAAAAAAAAAAAAAAAAACCCAACCCCTCTCTTCACATGCTTTAAAGACCCAAATCCATCCAGCCTAGTTATTATGCGGACACAGGTTTGTACTTGTGGTGACAAGAGGTCAGCCTCACCAACGTTCCTAACAGTAGGTGGTCTGGAGGTTAAAAAGATTGAAATAAATAAACCTGTTTTAAAGTCAGTGGCATTTATTTTTCCCTTCCTGAAACATTCTTTGTTAAAATAACAAAGAATTACTTTGTAATTGTAGTAATTCCAAAACTTGGAATTACTAAATAAGTTTTGATTTAGAGTAACAAGTTAGGTCAGAGTTTTGATGATGTAAAGGCATTCTCTGTACATGTTGAACTTTTCTTTGATTTTTTGTTAGAAAATTGTTACATTTTTAGGTCTAATTTAAATCCTTTTAATACATTTTATAGTAAGACTGATTAAACAACTGAAACTATCATAATTCAGAGTTTTACTCCAAATTACGGAATTATTCTTTTGATAGTCATGTAAAACCCAGTCCAGGTAAAGAATCAATGAGAAACCTTTTCCTCCTTAGATTTCTGTTGTGTCTGGAATCACTGGTTAGTAATTCTACATTCAAATCTGTCCTTAAGTCTCCTTTAAGAAGTGTATTGGAGGTGATGGGGGAGGTTCACGGCTCAGCTTTTCAAGCTAGTTATTGTTTGGTCTACAAATTATTACTTACAAACCTGAGCCAACTGTGACAGAAGACAGTAAGAGTATCTTATAGGCTAAAGTTGTATTTACAAAGTAATTTAAAGGAAATAAAAATCCTGGTCCAGCCTGGTATGCAATTTTTCTCTGAACAGGGAATTTCAGCTTTGTATGGATTTTTCAGAACACTTTTTCAGAACAGTTGAGTTTCAGTAAGTGAATAATGCAGTCATATTAAAAACAAAGAGATGTTTTGCTAAGAATATTTCAGGGTTTTGTATCTTGCTGCACTGCAAATAACCAGATCTGTCCTGACAGACTGAATTTGTACGGTCTGTGCTACGTGAAACAAAAGAACTTCCAGCTCAGTTGAAGTCATTTGAAATATATTCTGGTTAGCTCGTAGATGAAAGGACCTTATGCCACGTACGCCATGCCATGTCTTGTAAACATTTTGCTAATATTTTTTCTTGTGGTTATTTTGACGTATATCCAGATACTCAGATAGACAACCCTTCTTCAAATCTCCTTCTCTAACCATAGACAAAATTGTGCCACATTCCCTGCACTCCAGCAAAGTGGGAAGGGAGGGGAATGACTGCGATGTGGCAGCAAGAAAGAATGCACTTTTATTCCTCTGTGGTCTTTTATAGATCTGTGTGTCGAGTAGAGTTGTTCAGAAGGCTCATCCTGCTTCCAGTGACTGCTGTTCGTTGTGGATATGTCAGTGCAGCTGTGTAGGCAGATGCACGGGACTTGCTTAATAGTATTTATACTTACAGGGCCCTGCTTCAGAAGACTTCAGTCACCTGCCCCCAGAGCAAAGACGCAAGAAACTGCAGCAGAGAATTGATGAACTCAACAGAGAACTGCAGAAGGAAACAGACCAAAAGTGGGTGTACTTGTGAGCTCTGTCATGGTTCTCTTTATGTCTCACCTTTTACAGTTCTCTGCTAGAGCCAGTAGTGCTCAAAAGTTAGGTGAAAGGGCTACCTCAGGCTATTAAAAAGCATTTTTTTTAATCTATGCTTTATTTTAAGTAGATTTTTGGTTTCATTGCCTCCTGCATCATTATAAGATACATTGTGATCTAACCTTGCATAGGAAATCTGTCTCTAAAAGTGAGTGTGTAGGTCTATCAAGCAAGAGCTGTGTATTACTACATTAAAAAGAGCACTGTGTAGAATATTGTATATAACAAGTTGAAGAATCAGTAGTTGGATTCCTTGTGTTCTTGTGCAAGAGAAAGAAAGAAAGGCAAAATGTTAAGGGGACGGAACAGAAAAGGATTTAGGAGAGGTGGAGCAGCTATAAAGTCTCACATCTGTGCTTAGGCTCTAGGATCTCTCCTGAGGATCTCATATGTGTAAACATTTGTTTTTACTTTTAATGAGTCAGTAGAGGTGTGTGTAATTTCTATAATTATTGTGGGGGTTTGTTTGTTGTCAGAGATGCTCTCATCAAGATGAAGGATGTTTATGAAAAAAATCCCCAGATGGGTGATCCTGGCAGTTTGCAGCCAAAACTGGCTGAGACCATGAGCAACATGGACCGTCTTCGGATGGAAATACACAAGAATGAGGTTAAAAACCTAAAACAATTTCTGGGAGAATGTAAATTAATGTTAATGCAATAGTTTGCCTCATGAATTAAAAATGTAGTGGTCAGAAAAATACTTAAGTAGTTCTGTATTCTATGGGGTGTCACATTTTCAGGTATGTTCTCTAAAGTTATAAACTCTTACTAAGAGTTTATATTTAATCACTTATTCTTAATTTAAGCTATCAAGGATGCAGAGTTTTGTCTGTTTCTGTTAAATTCTTAATTCTAGTATGGAATATGTGCTAAACAGAAGGGAGAGCTTCATGCTTCATGTAAAATAAGTTTGAAACTTAGCATGTGCATACACTCTTTATATGGCTGTGTCCTGAAAACTCAGCTGTGTGTATTTTTAAAATGGTATTTGCTGTCTTAGAATTCAGTTGCATTTAACACCAGTATTTGTCTTTTCTCTCCAAGGCTTGGCTGTCTGAAGTTGAAGGTAAAGTAGCAGCCAGAAGCGACAGGCGACACAGCAGCGATATCAACCACCTTGTAACGCAGGGCAGAGAGAGGTCACTATTCTATCTCTACTGCATTTATATCTTAGAATAGCATCAATGATTTGATTGTTAATGTTTGATTGTCAACAGTAGGAAAAGGCTGCTCCTGATCTGCTGAATGAAAAGTTTTAATGGTTATAAATTCTAGAGTTTACCCCATCAGTCACGGTGACGTTAAAAAAAAAAAAAAAAGTTTAATTGAAACACCCTTTCATTAAATAGCAGCACACTTTAAAGCTATCATATGCACTGCATAAGGCTCACCAGGTCTGCAGGTTTTGTAGATAGAGGTATGTCAAATTTATGTTTGTTTTCTTGGGAGAATTGAGTCCCAAGCCTGTCAGCTCAGAACTTTATCAGATCGCGTGCAGCGGTGACTGCACGGGCTGCTGGCAGCACGGCACGGCCGGTGCTGCGGCACGGCCGATGCTGCGGCGCGCGGCCCTCCGTCCTGGAGGCCTCACGTCGCAACTGTCGCGTTGCAGCCCCGAAGGCAGCTACACGGACGACGCGAACCAGGAAGTGAGGGGCCCGCCGCAGCAGCACGCGCATCCCAGCGAGTTTGATGATGAGTTTGAAGACGATGATCCCTTACCAGCTATAGGACACTGCAAGGCAATATATCCTTTTGATGGTAAGGCTAACAACATAGATTCTTCTTTGATGAAGAGGTAACTTAAGAGGCGTGAGTTATTTGTTACACAGAAAGTTAAAATATTTAATAAATTAATTTACAGGCAGACTGGTATTTTTATGCTGTCATATTAGAAAGCACAACTATTAGCAAACGCTCAAATTTACAAATGGAACTAGATTTTTGTCTGCAAGACCATTTAAATATATATTCACTTGCACAATTTTTGATACTTCCTGTTTATATGTAATCCGGAAACTATAAACTGTGTCCTGGGAAAAAATTCTTGAAATGCTGCCATAACGTTGAGACGTCTTTGCCTCTTGTTTTCCCAGGTCATAATGAAGGCACCCTAGCAATGAAAGAGGGGGAAATTTTGTACATTATTGAGGAGGACAAAGGAGACGGGTGGACAAGAGCTCGAAGACACAACGGAGAGGAGGGCTATGTGCCAACATCATATATAGATGTAACGCTAGAGAAAAACAGCAAAGGTGCAGTAACCTATATCTAACAGTAAACTGGCAGTTTTCTATGTACCTTCTCCCAGGGAGATAGTGGAAAAAATAATGTCACACAAGCTGATGGGAGGAATTAGAGTTACCAGAAGTGGCCACTTCAAGTGGCTTGCCATCTTTCCCCCCTCCCCCCCTCGAGATGTCAGCATTAAATTAAGTACTTCTTGTTGGTCTATAATTTTGACCGGTGTCTTCTGCTTTACTTAACTGATCAGGTGTTCCTGCTTTCAAAGTGCTCAGCTTGATTCATTTATTAAACTGAAAAACACCAGGATTCCTGCTCGTTCTCTGTAGTAGTTGGTTTACAATGAACTGAAAAATGCCTGAAGACCTCTAAAATTTACAGTTCCCAATTACATGACTGAAGCCATATACTTAAAGGAGAGGCTTTTTTTCTTCTAATATCTAACTTAATTCACTTACTGAAAATTATTAATTTCCTTCCTTTGCAAATACTTGGCAGGTTTCCCCTCTTAAAGAGGAAAATGTTTTCAAATTCTTGAAAGCTCAACAGAAACACTCAGGAAGAAGCATTATAATTAAAAAGGACAAAGCGTCCACTGACCTGCCTCCCCTTCCAGTGGTTGTAACCTAGAAAATTGTGCATTTGGCACAACTTCATTGTTTTAACTGTAGATAAAAAGATGAGAAGTAATGCTTACGTGTTACTGGATTTTAACCTCTCTCTGCTCCTGGAAAGGGATTGTTTTTAAATTCTTAATCTATGCCTGTAAGGGAGGAGGCTTTGAATTACATTGTGTTTGGGTTAAAATCAAGATCTAAAATATACAGTAACTCCCTCACTATTAAATCACTAAGGTTCGAACACTACACTGTGCTACTTAATTACTAGGAAAAAAACAGCTGTGTCTGGTATTCCTATTCAGACTGTTTGTGGAAATAGTACAAGGCTAATGTGTAGCCACTGGGAATGGCCTGTTAGAACTGAGCACGCTCCTCTGTCTCTGAAGGCCTTCAGTAACTTTGTTCTTTTCTTTTTCCTCTTGGACTGCAGGTTCCTGAAGCGGGTTTCTGAGAAAATGGGCGAGATCTTGAAGGAGGTTACATGCAGCTGCTTTGGGGGGAGGGAGGGGATTAGCCTGGGAGGCCCAGGGAGCAAGGGGAAAAGCTAGTTGCATGAATGCATGCAGACGTACGTTTAGTCACTAACATTCTTAGCATTTCCATACATAGTTAAGGATGTATCACAAATTCTTAAATTTCTGCTGCAAAATAGAGCTCCATTTCCAGAGTAAAAAAGGCAACTACTACTAAAATTGCTTATTCTTATTGTCTTTAGTTCTCAAAGAGGCACAAACTGTATTTTAGCTTGTGCTACATTTTGGTTATCTATCTCAATTATGCTCTTTCCAACTGATTGTAATTGGCAGTCATTTAGAACCATGTTCGTTGTCAGCCTGCCTGTGCCACCTCCATGCTCGCCCTTAACCCCTCCTGCATGCCTAGGACAGTCGGGCATGTCTGCATAACATTTTATTGTCATCATTACTTCTCTTTTTCAGTAACAAACCATTCTGTTTAAATATCTCCAGCACTAGAGTTTCATCCCAGTATCCATGTATGCTGCTATCACCCTTCCACTGCAACCACCATTATATTCCAGTTTTTGACACAACTACTCTGAGATCATACTGTATTTATGTTGGTTTGGGGAAATAATGCATCTCAGCTCTAGCCTGCAATGCAGCCAGAGAAACTCCAAGAACTGTGGTCCATCTTCAGCACTTCAGTAACCTAAGGTGAGCACTGGAAACCTGGAACACCACCAGAGAGATTCACCACTGCGAGCTAAAGACTGTTTTCCAAGTCAACCACTTGCCATTCAAATGCTGCCTTAAACTAGAGTGCCTAAATCTGCTGATTGCCAACACTACCACTTACAGTATCGCACAAAGGGCTTTGGGTCTCAGCTCTTTCCACAGTGCTGCAGCTGCTGAGGTAGCCATGGTAGGTGTTTTTCTAGAGCTCTACTTTACAGGATACATGGTGCATCATGAATTTTATACATTGAGACATGTATCTCTTCATTTGACTTTAATATTTTTACAAATATTTTTATGGAAACTTTGTCTCTTAGTTTTTGACTATGAAGTTCCAGTTTTAATTACTGCAGTGCTAGTTTGTTTCCAGGTGATGCTTCATTGTATGGACCAGTTGAAATTTGAGTGATACTTCGTAATGATCTATGTGCACTTTTACTTGTAAACAATTGAAATTTGGATATGTTTATACGTGTAAATATAGCTGTCTGCAGTGCCCCTATCGCTTATGTTGTCTTGCTTCCTATTTGTGGTTCTATTAATAAATGCATCATATCTGATTTATTAGGGTAATAAGAATTAGACTAGAGAGGATGGGGGGAGGGATACTTGTATCAATCAAAGCTTGTCAGCCCAGTCACCTGCTGTGAGAGGAAATAAAAGTAATCAAAAGAGCCTGATTTGGGGGGAGGTTGGGGGCGGGGGGGGGGGGAACTTGAAGCAATATTTGGATGCAGCAGTGCTGGATTCCTTTTAATTTCAGTGTTATTAGAAATTGTACTACAAGTAAAACTGAATTTGAGTGACTTGCGTAGAGCTTTGTTCCTTTTCTTATGTATACCACTATTACAGAGCTTGACCTAGTGTATTACAGTTGGGGGGGCTATTAAACTCTAAAGTTTAGATTTTTGGATACTGTATACAGGGTTATTTATATAATAATGTGACATTACTCAATACTGACAAAACTACATGTGTAGTTTTTTTTTTTTAATCTAGTGCTTTTTATTTTCAAGTTAGAGGAGGAAATGTGATCTATGTATTCTCTGCTAAAGGGCCTGTGGTTTTGCCTGGCTAACAGCCTCGCAGGTTAGTAATAACTCTTCCTGGTAAAGGACTAAATGTTCTCTCTTCACGCTACTGTTTGTTTTTCTAAAACCAGGATTTGCTTCCTTTGGAGGAAGGTTCCTTTCATGAGGGAGAGTGCAACTTATATGAGGGTTATTAAACATAGGAAAAAATAATTTGTACTTGCACAGTTAGTCATAAATCACTTATTCTAAAATTCTGAATGTGAGTTGTCTTAAGGAATCTTCCATTTTCCAGTAATTTTTAATCTTTTATTTTTTGTGCACATGTTGATTTCTTAAATGTTAAATGCTTTGTTTAAAGATAGTGTTCTCTGTTGAGAATATTTTCATGGAATAAAGAAATCTTTTCATGGTCTAATTTAGCTTCCCCATTTGTGTTCTGTTAAGATTGACAGGGAAACCTAACCCTTTGTAGCCGCTGGGACAGATGCTGCTGTTTGGTGGTGGTGGGTCTTCTTGTTGGCCTGCCCCCCCTGGAATACTTTGCAAAGGTAACCTCACACTTCAGAACTAGGCTTACCAACGAAGAGCTACTTCAACTCTAACCAGTTACCTAAGCATTAACGCTCACGCACTGCCTCTGCGTGCAGGGAAGTGGAATTTGACACTAAAAGTCTTTTTATGTAGGAAATCAGTGTGTGTGATGTCTATGAAAAGTGCCAATCACTTATGCTTTGACTTCATCCATGAAAAAGTGAGTAATTCTTATCAAAGTGATTCACTTCAGTAACCAAAGTGAGTTGAGTGTGCACATGCACTCACGTTTACTTGTATCTGGAAGTGTTTTAATTAACAGCATTGTTTGTTCTTACCATGTCATCATTCGCTCCTGGCAGCTTTGCTCTCGTGCAGTCTCCAGCAAAGACCAAGCTCCAGCCTTAGGTGCTGTCTTAACAGAATCAATTGTCCCAACATACATAAAACTAATTTTTACTGTGATTACAGTGAAATTTGAGCCTTCAGTTGTGGTCACAGATAAAGGATAATTTCTGCAACCAGTCTACAAATTATTTTGCAAAAAAGAAATATATTTTAATCCACAACTCTTATGTACAAAGTTTTATATTCATTTAAGGACTATTATACAACTGCAATGTCACATACTTAATCTATATGTTTATTTACAGTAGTTGCTTCATTTTAATATATTTAAGATGCCCGACTCCCCCCCCCTTACGCCTAAGTATTACTAAAACATTATAAATCTGGGGAAATATGGAAAGCTGTAAGACTGTCTTACAAGAATAAAGTTAAATTGTTTAAAGGATCATAAAAATGATTTGATGGCACATTAAATAAATAATTTGTTTAGTAATCAGTAGTTTTAAAACAAGTGTGCATTGTGCAGTTAAAGTTCTAAACATCTTGTGAAATGCTACAGGTTGGTGCAGTATCAAATCATCCAAAGAAAAGCTATGGTTATTTCAGATTTAGCACTTAGCTTGTATAGAGTCTTAAATACTTAATTGTTCCACCTGCTTCACTGGAGGAGGTTCCAGTTTTCGGGACAATGCAGTTAAGATCTGGCTGAATTTTTCATATCTTTCATTTTGATTAACTTGTGCCCCTTTGCTGCCCCACAGCAATCGCATTTGAAATTCTGTCTTGAAGATCTCACTCAGCTCTTCATCTGGCTGGAAACCTAATAAGCAAAAAAAGAATCACACAGTATCACCATTAATCGTCAATTTTTACTTAGAAGAAAAGGGTTTTTTTTTTAACATGTATTGTTTCCAAACAACATTAGCTTTAATATACTAGGATCATGCTGCTCAATGGTTTAAAAAGCCAGCAAATGTGTTCTTAGCTGCATGCAGGTAGCAGCAGGGAGCTTAGGACAGGCTGGCCTTGGCTCCGTTTTAATTTGATTGTTTTGTACCATTCTTTTAACTCAACATTAAATACTATCACTGATGCATATACATGCAGCCTGCCAAAATACTTACTTTTTCTTCACTGTCACCTTTTTCATTGCAAATTTAAAATACACCGTTAAGTAATTAGCAGGTTATTTGCTTTTTGACCACAAGTGGTTAAGATCTGTGTTGCATTTGCCTACTGTAAAGACAGTAGGCACCGCCACACTTTGGTATGTGGTTTAGTTGCAAAGTCAGTAAGACTTTTATATTGTACAGGAGGCTGTGTGCTATCCCCAGTTCATCCTGTACTAAAAATTCAGTTGCTCAGATGACAACTCAGGATATTAAAGCAAGACTTAAGAAGTGTGTCATACTGCTTGCTGGAAAACTGAATAATCTGCTTCTCTTTTTGGCCAATACTGCTGTTGTCCCAAGTATGAGTTTCCTGTTGCTATTCCAGCTCTTACACAACCTTCTTGCACTGCCTTTTCTCCCCTCTAAATCGTGCCTTTCGTGCAGCGCGGGGTGCGCGGGGCGGGCCGCGGTGCTCCCTACCTTGCAGCAGCTGCTGGGCGGCCGCGCGGAAGGCGGGCGCGTTGTGCGCGACGAGCCGCGCCGCGGCCAGGTGCGCCAGCAGGATCTCGCAGCTTTGGTCAGTGCTCTCCCACAGGTCCAGGCCTTCCACCACGACCGCTTGCCGCTCCATCAAGGTAAGGAGTGGCATCAGCAGTGGCACCGTTACCTTGTTCTGCAGAGCACCGATGGTCTCTGGCGTAGAGCACAACAAACCAACCATACTGTTAGAAATCCTAAAATCTACTAATTTAATAAAGTATCGTAACTGTATCATATCATTCTCCAAGTCAGAAACTAGTATTTGTCTTGCATTTCTCAAATTCACCAGCTCTACCAGTTTCCAGTGAGTGCTGGGGTAGCTGCAGTGTGATGGGGCAATTGAAATAAAGCACAGTGTTCTTGGCAAACTGCATTTGCTCTGCTGAAAAACTGCACAGGGCACAGAGATAAATGCACTGAGAATTACACTTTTAAACATGAATATGTGTCATTTTCTTCAGGGCAAGTTCCAACAGTTTTTGTGGGGCTAAAAGTTTTCATCCTCCCTCCTTTCCCTGAGCCAGGGATTTTTAATCTTCCCTTAGATCCCTTTGGTGACTACAGCTGCAAAGAATGATGCAGGAGCAGCAGGAATTACGTGAGTGGCTGCAGGCCCCAGCAGCACTTAATGTGCTCAGAGGAATTGCCCATTACACCTTTGCTCCAACAGCAAAGCAAGCCACGGTCCTGCACAGTGCAGAGGGAGGGGGGGATTTTTGTCCACCCGCGTTAAGGGGGAGCAGGCAGAGGTGGCTGGCAGGCCCTCCGCTGCCGTGTTCTCTGCAAAAGGGGGTTGAGCACACAGGAATGTGACACCGCCGCTGCATGAGGTTTGGCGGGCAGATGTTTCCTCCTATTCCCTTGTGTTATACTGCATTACAGAAGTTCATAGAGTCACTTCTAACATATGATGGACAGCTATCAAACTAGCAGCTGTCTGCTTACACAGACTCCTCAAGCTGAGCTATAAGGGAGAGTTGTAGGGAGAGCCAGAAAGGGGTGTCACGCGTGACCACTCACCTTGTCCTTCATGCAAAGCTTTGCTAAACGGCTTCAGCTGCTTTTCGTATGTAATGGCAGTCTGGGTGTAATGATGTCTTAGAGTCGTCCAGGTTTGTTCTAGCCTAGAGACCTGTTCAAACAGAAGCCAGGAATGCCTGTCTGACTCCATAGCCATTCACATGGAAAACACTGCTACTGGCCAAACTGGAGTTACTCAGTAGTCGGCCACTGCTTTTAAATAAGATGCAGGTACTACAAAGGCCAGAGTCAAACATCACTTGATCCAAAGATGGATAACGTATCGCCACTGTTCTACCAGTGCTAGCTTACAATACACTGTTCCCAAGAAAGAACCTGTTGCAGAGACTGCTCACAACCCAAGGAAAGCATTTGCTCACTTAGAACAAAACCATGCAGGATTTCCTCCTGCCAGTTAGCTGGGGAAGCCCTCCGGTCGCACGATATAAAACTTTCTGTGACGCCCTTCAGAGCAAACCTGGGAGCCTGGGGCCACCCCAGGGACCATGCAAGAAAAGGCCAACAATTTAATTGGCAAGTCTCAGCAGCAGTACAGTAAAATGATTCTGCATACAGAGGTGCTGTAGAATAAAGGACAAGAAGTTTTTAAGTTCATACCTGATGGGAAAATTTTCCTTAAAGTTTTATTCTAATGTCTACTAAAACAAACTCTGTATGGTGAGTCAGAAATGAGGCAACTGCCTCCAACCTCCCCCAAGCAGGAGGAGAAGGACCTGTCCCTGTATCAAGCCTGATAACCAGCACAACTCTAGAACCAGCTGTGTACGGTCTCTAAAGGGCTCCAGAGCTGGAGCTTCCCACAGCGGCATAACTGGTGCCAGGGCTTCTCCTCCTCGAGTTTTGCTTGACACACAACCTGGCGTGTTCTGTTTACAATTTAAGCTCACTAATTATGATCCTACTTGTAGGGAAGAATATTGTTACTTTTGTAACTAGCTGCCATATGCTTTAAGCCTGCTTCCTCAAGCTTTAGCTTTTTTTGGAGCTAAATAATCTACTTTTTTTTTTTTCTCCTTCACATTTTCTAGACCTCTTTGCACTCAATTCCTTTTCTTAGTCCACATTTGGCCAACAGGCAAAAAAAAGGCATTCTATACAAATGGAGATCTGGTCATTTCTGGGTAGAGCAAATGGCTTCACCCACATCTATAAAGGCAAGATCCCTGTTTAAATACCCACTGTTGGCAAAATGCTGTTACTATTTTTATATCTTTCTTCTACCATGTATTATTTAGTAACTTATTATTGTCTATCTCTGATCTAGATTTAAGCAAATACAAGCATAATTTCCCCCATCGAGGTCATCAATGAAAACATTCCATCTTGGATGCAGATATTGCTACTTTGATACATTCTTCTATTGAGATAACTATGATTAAATTACGGGTTTTTGGTTTTTTTTTCCTAACCACAGAGCTTCTTCGGAAACTGAAGTCAGGCTGACTGCTCCTGTCTGCCTCACAGCCCCATCTGAATCGTTCCCCAATTCCTTTCTCAAGGATGCACACGCAAAAGTAATTTGTAACAGCTAGCCACTGTCAGCTCATCCTAAAATGCTGGTTTTCAGATGATGTGTGAAAACATCCACTTCCTCATTTCTGATTTAAAGCTAAGACTCCTTCACACTCTATTCATCCCTCTCACAGCTGACATTTTGTACTGAAAACTGATGTTAGAAAAACAGAAACACACGCATCCAACCCTTTGAATCTTACTGGGTAGGTACTCTATTTACAAGTTGATTTCTTACTAAATAGGTGCCTCATGAGCATTATTTTGCGCCAAGAAGTTTAGATTTTTATCTCTATATATATTTAATATTCTAACACCTCCCTAAATCCTGAAGAATTTGAGGCAGGCTGTACTCTTTCTACTTGTTCCTGAGGCCACGGAAGCACTCACAGTTTAGCCAACATCACCTCATATGCTACTTTTTAACCTTCCTCTTCAGCCTCCACACATTCATTTCTCAGAGGAACTGCCCGATCTTTTTGCTCTCTTATCTAACAAGGTGAAAAAAATCAAATATTGAAGCAGGCTTCTGGAAAGTCACTGTTTGTATTTATTTATTTTCTTCTGCTCCTCTCAAGAAAATTTTCTTCCTCCTACTGCTGGAAATCGAACCTAGAAGAGCATTTTCTTCCTTGACTTCATCTAAAATAATAATAATAGAAAAAGGTGATACCATAACCTAGGAGCTTGCTCTGTGTTCAGCTGTGATTTCCCTGCATTCCCCAGTAGACTTCTGCATGATGAACATGACTCACCTCCACACCAACTGCAATGCACAGAAGAATCTGCCTGTTTACCTGAGGGGGCATCCAAGTAGGAAATTTGCTGTAGCACTCACAGTCTTTCTTGCTTTTACTGTTACCTGTGGACTTTCAGCAGGTTTAACTTTCTCCACACTTTCTGTCTCAAACCTCACACATCCTTCCTCTACTTCTTCCCGTCAGAAATAACTACACTGCAAGTCCTGTTTATTCTGGGATTGTTCAGCATGATTTGTCCTCAACAAAATGGTAGCTTTGAAAAATCATCCGAACACAACAGGAATGTTCATAAACATCAGCAACATGCAAAGTGAGATGCATCTAGACAGCACAATTGTCTGCAACTATAAATATAGTTGTGTCCTGATACAATTTTTTTTTCCTTATAGGATTAAGCCATTTCTTCTGCACCATTAATTCGCATTTCATATAATGAAGCCCTGTTTTAAAAAAACAATTTTCCAGTAAATTTTGCATCAACAAGAATTAGCCTGCTATCATAGTTAGATGAGTTGTTGTTAAGTTCACAATGACTAAAAATAGTCCTGATGCTCTTGTCTGTAGGGAAATGAACTTCGTGCTGTGACTGTCTCTTTAGTCTTAAGACAATTAAGTTAGGACCAGAATTAGTTTAAAGAAAGCAAACCTGTCAGCTTTTGGTTCTAGAACATGAAGAGGAAAAACATTTTTACCTGTGGCATTTCTAGTGCCTTCATAATGGCAGAAAATGCATACAAATCCCCCAGCGAGTCCTTCAGCTCCACTGCTACTTGGATGATCCTGTTTAATGTTGCAGCTCTGTCTTCTACATTCCCTGTGCAACCCAGGATATCCACAGCTATTCCTATTGCCATGGTATTGTGCCTACAAGGGAGGTAATTTATACTGTCGATTATCAGTTATCAAAACATCAATACATTACACTGTGCATGTACTCAGAGAAGATTCGGTTGAAGGTATATTCATTACCTTGATTGTGCTCAGCAAAGTGGCTCACTAATGTTTCTATCAAGAGCAGTAATGTCAATATATGGAATGTAGATACGTTGGCTTTGAGGTTATGGCTTACTATGTTCATGTTAATTGATATTATTAATAGATATTACTACAATGCAGCCAGACCTTCTGTAACATTTGATCACCTGGTAAGCACTGGTGGAACAGTAGGTGATGAGTGTACTCGGCACTGGGTGTACACAGCATGACTGCCTCAACCAACCACACCTGACAGCTGAGTTACTTTCCTACTTTAGTCCATACTGGAAGAGACCAGGAGCATGTTAGCTGTCAGCTGCTGCACCTTAGAGGTAGGTCTGTAATACTTTAGGACATCCTAGCTCACTAACTCGAGCTGCTGAAGCACTGAATCCAAAATTATGCTCATGGCATGTATGACTGAATGCTCCTCCTGGAAACCAGCTCAGAAAGGAGAGCTGATGATGCTTGGCAGCTCCAGCACGCTGCTTGCACTGCCATTCTGCTTTTCCTGTGTTTCTCTATACTTCACTGAGTTGCCCTACAATCTTCAGGAGTTTCCTATGCAAGTAGAAGTGATCCTTTATGTATCACTGAGTTATCTTCTGTGCACACAGATTCAGAAAAGGCAAAAGAGCAGTCTTTGATGCTCTGATGTCCTGGCCACCTGCCCCAGGTAGGCAGAGAAACAGAAACATTTACCTTTCAATTAGGTCAAGGCGCAGCTGATGTCCGTAGGGCAGTGTGATCAGTTCAAGACCAGACTTCACTCCCATGACCCTCCTCATCTCTTCAGAAACTTCGAGTATCCTGGCCACCTGTCAATGCAAAACCTGTGCATGAGTTCTGAAACTTGCCTTTTTTTTTTTTTCAAAAACAACAAAAAACCATATTTGCCACACTGATGTGCTCAGGGCAACGGGCAAATGTACGCGCCCGTGCATGACAGGATACTGTCATTCAGGAATCGCTTCAGGAACTAATGACCATTCAGGGCCTTATACAGACAGAACAATTAAGTATTTTATTGCAGAATGACTTGTATCTCTGAAAACACTAAAATCATAACCAAAACGCTATTTTTATATATGGACATCTGCTGTTAGAGGGGCTTTACCAAACCCATGTCCTCTATTTCCAGAAGGAGATGCATATAAATACTGTCAGAAACCTGAGGGCTCCCTCAGCCAAATTCTTGTCAAGGGACCAATGCTCTTTGGTCCTGAGCATGTACAGATGTGTTTCTTCTTCTTCATATCTAAAAAAGAGGATTTCTTTGCTCACATTTTAGGTTATACCACAGAGTTCTGATGAAGAGTAATAAAAGGACTTCAAGGATAAAACCAATATCTGAGTGTCTAGCAAAGTCACCATGTAAAAACAAATGCCCTCACCAATTTGTCCTTGTTTTTTAAACATGCAGTATTAGCTACTGGCTATACCACTATCTATGCTAATCACAAGCAAAAACACATTTTGATAGTATGAGATTATCAGTTGTTCTAAAAATGTGTGTTGATACACTTGCCAACTACTCTGCCTGCTATTTGTGATACAGCATCAGCAGGCTTCCTTGGTTACAAAAGATTAAAGCAATCTGGACCAAACAACTCGTCTACTGGTGTAAAACCCAGCACTGCAGAGAATCCTGTTTCCCTTCCAGGTAAGCAGGAGTGATGTGAAGTCCTGCGATGGAGATGCACTGATCTCCACAAAGATCCCTCTAGGCATGCGAGGCGCAGACATTCGCTCCTCCGTGTAATAATGGGCATTTTGCAAAAGAAACTTTCTAGAGGACTAGAAACGTCTGTATTTAAAAGGATGACTAGATACTGATGCAACAAGACCTAAGAATTTCGGCCTTATCACAGATCTCAGGGCAAAACATTTACTCTGGCCCAGATCACATGCCAATCTGCTTGTGTCATGCAGTTCTTACCAGTACAATAGCATGCAACAAGTTTCCACTGAATGACAGTTCTCAGCTCTTCTAGATGAAGATAAAATGTGGATATTTCTCTACTTGTCCCAGTTAGTTCTTGCACCAAAACCCCAAAACTTGGATCTTTAAAACATTTCAGGGCCTCTTCACTGTACTCCCACATTTCTAGCAGGTCACTCACTGCCTTGGCCCCAGGCCAAAGCATACAAGATTTAAGATAATGTCACTGGAGCAGGGCTTCAAACCCAGGGCTACCCCTCTGCAGGGGAGCCTCTTAGAGAGCTGCTCTCACACCTTCAATTAATACAATTTTCCTCTTCCCAAAATGGAAATGTCCACAAGAGAAATGGAGGCCCCTTAGCCACAAAACTGTCTGAGCACAATGCTCAGAGCTCTACCCCAAGCTGTGCTGCAGTAACGAGCATAGCACTCTGCAGATCACAGCATTTGCTGAGAAGACTGAAGAAGAATCAGATTATAAAGGATCAAATTCAAAGTGCAGCTATGAGAATTAGCACATTTTTTGTTAAATTCATGTTTCATGTAATACTCCCTCAAATAAATAGGTTATGCTTCATTTATTTTAACAAGCTAATTCAATACTCTCTATCTACATAAGCTCTGACCTACTTCACCAAGCACACAGAGCCTGTGCTGTCACTCACCATTCCCCCTAGCAATACACTGAGGGACACTGGCTCAGCAGGAGCAGCGCCAGCCGAGGCAGGGCTGCTCTCGGTGGCCTCTCTTGCAGAGAGCTGCAGTCCGGGCCCCTGCAGCGAGCGGACAGAGGAGCAGCTGCCCGCGCCGAGGCACCGCGGCTGCACCAAGGCAGGCGCCGCCGCCGCCACCGCCACGGAACCACGGCCAGCGCGCACACACTCGCACACACACTCGGCACGCTCATGCACGCACACACTTGCACACCTGCATGCACTCACACGCACTCACTCATGCATGACACTCCATCCACTCACGGGCATGCACGCACACACACTCATGCACACACACACACACACCCCCACTCATGCACCCACACCTGCATATGCACACACACTCGCACACACACGCACACTCGCCCCCCCACACCTCAGTCTCTCTGACCCGCTGCCCGCCCGAGCTGTGGTGCTACTCGGTGCAGTGGCACCAGGAAAGGCTGCCGTTGGTTTCAGCCTCCACTCCCACTCTATCTGGTCTGCAGTGGAGTTCCCCAGTTAGTAGCTGGATGTGTCACTTCCCAAGCTGCTCTTAAAAAAAAAAAAAAAAAAAAAACCTGCAACACCCTGAACACATAAGGCTCGATCCCTTGATCCCTGGGGCTGTGCTGGGGCACTCTCAGGCATCCCAGCAGAGACTTAACTGCAGCTGCATCTCCCTTTTATTACGCAAAATCTTTACTTCATAAGACAGGTATTTCTCCCACCTTTCCATATTTATGCTCAAACAGCTGATCTTCAAGTTCTGCCAGTTGAACAGAGTCTACATTGCAAAAAACACTTCTTCATGATTTCACAGCTTTCTAAACAATTTCACTGGCAATACAGGCCTCTTGCAGGAGAGAGCTGCAGAAGTCCTGGTAGCGTCTTCCCACACTGCTTAGCCCAGTATAAGACAAGATTAGACAAGCTGTTAGCATGAGACGCTTAAAATGACTGAAGTGCCCTTCAAACTTTGACATTATGCCCAATGGCAATGAGCCGCTCTCTGCCTCTACAACCTGCTTAGCTATTTCCTGTCACCAGTATTGGTTCCACTATGGGTTTCAAGAGAGATTCCCCCTTCCTCCTGTAGAGAAGAAAGGATGAATCACAGACGTACAACAAATGGTAAGAGATTTAAAATAAATAAATACATTGAACACAGAAATCTAAGTCCGAAGACAAGGCCAGTGGGAGAGACCTTCAGTCTAAACTGTCTGTCTGTATTCTTCTCCTGGAAATGAAAAAAAATACCACCCCTGTAGGCAAAGCTATATATTTATCGCACTATCTGCTAATCTAGCCTTTAATCTTTTCAAATCAGTTCTTTAACAAGTCTAAACTCGCACAATGTAAAATAAGATGCAAAAAAAAATTTCTTTTTACAATTATTTGCTTTTACAAGTAATCTTTTTACCTTGCAGTCCATTCTAAGAATATGTTTGGCAATGATCTTTGGATTGTTGTTGGTAAATAGCTCCTTAACCTTTTTTAACATGGATGTTTCTAACGGCTTGTTTTCAGGAGGAAGCAGTTTGGATTCAAAATCATTCGGTTTAAAACTAGAGACCGTCTCAAGAACAGGTGCAAAAAAAGGGCTGTCTTCTTCAGCTATCTCAGTGGAAGCAACTTTGGATCCTTCTAAAGGATCTGCAGAGCTCATGACAGAATCGTCTTCCAGGATCAAGTAGCTTGTGTCAGAATTCCTGAATGAGTGTGTCCCCCTCTCCTTCGGTGTCAGATGTTCCACATAGCTTTTTTTCTGACATAAGGGTGGTTTTGTTGCTGCAGGGTCTCTGGCAGGACTCAGTTCACAGTAGTGTCCTTCTGAACTGTGTGAGGCTGAAGGAGACTCCGGGGTTTTCAGCAAGGGCGCTTTGTTGGGCTTAGGTGGAGGCTTTGGGCAGAGCTGACTGTCTGATCCTCTAAGAGCTTCCCCTGCGTATGATTCAGAGGTGACTTTCTGAACAGCTGTGGGGCTCAGAGAAGGCTCACTGCCTGTTCGAAAGGCAGGGGAGCTGGGGCAGGAGTTTGCATCTGCTTCAGGTAATTGAGAAGGATATCTTGAACCTGTAGAGGCAAATAGAGAAAAAAAAATCATTTTCACATAATTTAGAAGGCAAGAACATATACAATTCCTGATGCCTAACTTGGGATTCATTTGCTTAACAATATTCCCCAAGAGAGATACTATCAGATCATGTTAATTATTCACCATCAAAAACGTATTTGAAATAAACACTTTCAGGAATGAGCTAGCCAGCAAATTCCATTCACTTACCGATCCTCCCCAAGTCCCAAACACACAGAACAGCTGCGCTATAATGTTATTCTGTGGTAACACTGACAATAATTCTAGTCCCCGCTGCATACATAGCTGCAATGTCAGAGCTGGATGGTCTCCATGGTTTGCAATAAGACTTTCTTTGTAACACGATCTGCCCTACAAAAACAGAAACTTCCAGCTGCACCACATAAGAGATGAGTCATTTTTGAGAATAAGTTTGAGATGAAAGAGAAGCTTCCCAAAAGTCAAGCCTGAACAAGTAGTGAGGTATGAAAAGAATGAATTTCAGGGATGCTAATCCCTTTTTTGCTAAACAGGAGCTGATTCAAATAGTTGGACAAACACATCCACATACTTCTGTGCTTAGTATTTATGCCTCATCCTGCACTTATAGCACATGCAAACTGATTGACATCAAATACAGGGCTGAACCGTTCGTGAGGCATTCCCGGATCACAGGGCACAGACACACTTGCTCGGAGCCACAGCGAGTCGGCCAGCGGTACCACACGGATCTGAGCTGCCTCTCAGCAGCAGCAGATACTGAAATCTGCAGATCACGGCCTGTCTCCAGTCACACAACCTTATGACACCAAAACCAGTTCCGAGGACCCCATCATAAAACACACAGCAATATTTTTCAGTTTAGCTGTTACAGTAGCAAAATAAATGCTTTTGCAGCCACGTTTTGAAATTAGATAATTGATTCAATTACAGATAGACAGAATTTGTTTTATGAATGCTGCTGTCCATGCCATTGCTGAACACCGGAACACTCCCTTTCTATCAACATACAGCTTCATTATATAAATATTTAACACCATTTTATCTCAAGAAGTCTTTCTACAATGGGTGCTATAAATCTCAACAGCTGTAGTACTATTGTAAGTTTCCTTACAAAGTATATTGGTATGGAAATAATATGCCTCTGGGAAAGAAAAAAGGCAAAAGTCAACAGCTGAACAACACTAGTACACCTTGTATCACTCACATAAAAGCAATGACAGTGACGGTGCTCTGGAAAACAAGGATCAGAGGGTACCAAAGTTGTTGAAGGGAAAGGAGGAACACATAACAGACCTTGCTCGAACAGTAGGAGTGAAACAAGACAGTTCTTACAAGCCACAAGTGAGGAAAGGCAACACTGTCAGAAAGGATATGAAATCATGCCAGTTGTGGGTGTCATTTCTGAGGTGTGGAAGTCTGCTGAGTTGTGTGCTAAGATACCAAACTGGCTGGTGTGTTGTAAATAAATAACCTGGTCACAGCTAAAGTGCAATGTTTGTACTAATTCAGCGTACCCTGGCTGTCAAACAATGTGCACGCACGCAGAACATGGAACAGTCTAACTTCGGTCTGAAATGTGACAGACCTGCAGGACACACACAGCTTGTAAGTCTTAGAAGCTTAATTAGAAAACATACCTATTGGCAGATAGCTCTCTGACTGGTGAGACTTTAGAGGGAACCTCTTCTCCAGGACATGATTCAAACTAGCTGGCTGGCTTCCACTTTTTTCTTTGTTTCTAGAGCAGAAAAAAAAAAAAAATCACTCAAACCCAACAACTCTTAAAATACAAACTTAATCACCAGAACACATCATAACCAGGGCAAGGATCAGTAGCGCTGCAGCAGCTCACAAGATTAAAAGCTATTTCATGCTGGTATGGCAGCAAGGAAAGAGGATTTAATGTGTTTGAACCTCTAGCATTCACTTGGATGTTTCTTTAAATGCGGAGGCTTCCTCATAGAACACTTGATCTGGACACAGAAATTAAGATCCATTATATTTATTAATCCAGAAGCCAAGTTTACTACAATACTTCATTCATTCTCTACCTAATACTGCTTTTATTGCAGAAACAAAGTATGGGAAGAAATGCGTCTCAAGCATGCGTCTCAAGCAGCAAGATTTCACTTTAATTCTTTAATATGTATTAGGATTTTAATTATTTGCTAAGTCAATGAAGAACAAGCTGCACCACAGTTTTGCTTCCAGAGTCTTAAACTTGCTCTTGCTTTGGATTTCAACTGAGTTACCAATTCTCTGTCGCTGGTCTCCATAAACCTGCAACCCCAACCATCTTCAAGCAACTAGTCCCTCTGAAACTGCATACAGACATTCTGTTTTTGCAAAGATAATTTCAGAATTTGATCTTTTCACTCATTTCCCAGACACTCTGTTCTTTGCTAGGCTAATAACATATATAAATGGCATTCAGGAAGCCCTAGTTAGCCACTGCTATAATGCAGTAACTGTGCTAAGAACCTTCCTATACTCGTGACGCAGGTTCTGGATCACGTTATGAGTTAAGCCTGTGCAGCCTGGACCCTCCCATCATGGCTTCACCTACTTCACTCATGGCTTCACTCATTCACCTACTTCAACCCTTAACACAGGTTTTGTTTTCTAGAATCAAATCCCCAAACCACAAAGTAGTTAGCATGTTCAACAACCTCAAGAAGTTTCAAAATCTGGCCCTAAAATATCTCTTTGCTAAAAATTAGCACATCTGAAGCCTAATCTTTCCACATAAAATCAGCATGAAAACTCACATCACCTTCAAAAGAAGCAGATAGAGTTACCCATGTCCCTCCAGAAGGACAGCAAAATTCAAGTACCTCAAAAGATTTCCTCTGGCTAAGCTCTGCTCCTGAGACTGCATGCTGGATATACCAAGACTAAGCCTTTTTACAGTCTCTGTTCTTCCTTCAGGGGTACTTGGTTCTTTTTGTCGGACTGGAGATGCACCATATTTTTCTTCTAGACATCTGAGAGGAACAGTCCTGTTGATAGGCTGAAAAATAATGGCTCCGCTCTGCTTTGATATTGGTGTGCGATTCCCAACATAGTATCTAACTAAGCCAGGGATGCTGTCGAAACTTTCAAGTTCAAATTGATACTGAACACGGCAGTAGGCTTCATTGAGTCTCACAACTGCTCTGTCAATTTTAAAATGTTGAGAGATATTTTTCCACTGACAGGTAAGAACAAAGTTCCCAGGACTGGAAAGAGAGTCCCTGATCAGAAAGTCTCCGTCTCTCTGAACCAGGCTTTCTGCCACCTTTGAGGGAAAAAGAAAAAAAAAACAGTATTAAAAATACAATTCAAATCAAAAGGTAGGTAGTTAAAAAAATACTCTTAAACAAAGGAATTTATTTGGCTGTTCCAGGAGCGCAGGTAAAGCCAGAAAATAAAGAATAGAGAACAGAAATGGTGAAAGAATGATCTCTTCAGTTGTAAAGCTGAGAGGTCACCCTGCAGCAGAGGTCTGGCTCAGCAGATGGAAACATGATCCACCTTCTGGGGTTACTTTTCTTTTGATTTCTTTATAGAAAATAGGGCACAAAGGGAAGTAATGACACAGAATCCAAAAGTTTAAATCTCTTGAACATATATTTACACAGAAGTTTAGAAGCCATGACTACAGGCAAGCAAAGTCATCCTTTCATTATAACTTCAAATGACAGAAGCTTAATTTTTTTGTTCTTGGTGAATACTGCCTATTACCAGCAATAGTCTGGAAATGTCTTTTTTTTCTAGCATGTCCTTTCTATAAGACAAACTATACATCCAGCAGTGAGCCCTAAGTGCAGTGCCTGTGCATACTGTGCCTCCTCTCCCTATTTCCACGAGCACCAGCAGCAGAGTGACAGCTACAGACACACGTGGCAGTGAGGCCCGCAGGGGGAGCTCCAGATGCTTCCGGTACACTAGATTCAATATAATGAGTTTTTAAATATCTTATAAGGATCAAAATGAACTTATTACATAAGTTTCATGTTTTTTTTTTTTTTCTCTCCCAAATCCCAACCTCCAGAAAATATACCAGTATGTTTTAATTTCAGTTAAGTATACCAAATCAAACAAATGGTAATATTCCTGAACAATATATGGAAATATTATTCTCGTACAAAGTTTAAATTTCACTTGCATCTTTATTAAGTGCTCCCGAAACCTTTAATATTTATATTTTCCACCAATATCTCCCCTGATTTTTTTCTCAGTATTATTTGATCCCTATCTGTGATAAAGAAAGAACATGCTTTTCATGCTAGTCAGAGTTACATTTCAATTAAATTATTGCAAATATTAGAGATCAACATGTACTGTTTTAGTGCAATCCTATCCATCCACAAAAGCTCAGAACGCTGCTGGCAATGCCCAGAGCAGGGAGCACGTACCTGCCGAGGAATACGCCCGTGGTACCAGGCATGGCTGCGCAAGTCTTCACTGCTCAGCTGCAGTTCTTCTTCTAACTCCTTCTTCAGCTTTTCTGGGCTGTCCATAAGTTGCCTCTCTTTAGAAAACTGCAATAAAAGATTAAAAGCTTCAACTGTGCCAAGTTTAGTGATTAACATTTTACCTGGGTTATAACTTCCATCACATGATGTGCACTAGCCACTGGAATGCAGGTGCTGCTTTTATCAGGCTCGCCTGGCCTCGCTCTCCAGGTGTATTTGCAAAATCCAGCACTTGGTGAGATAAGGTGTTAGTGTTATACATTGCACAGAACAGTGCACAGTGCTATGTCTGTACCCCAAGGTAACAAAGACATGCCTGCAGAATCACTTCTCTTACTTCTTTTTCTCAATTTCAATTCTAACTACTGCAAAAATAACAGAGTTGGATCCAAACACACACCTTTAATAGGCTTCCTGCTCTTTAAAATGCCATTTTAGATTCTTATTTTTTCTTCTCTCCCTTTGTTCCAACCAAATTAAAATGAATCAAATGCAGCAAGAAAGGCTGAAGTGGACATACATACTTGTTCAATATTTCTGTTGCATTGAAGAAAAAAAAAGTTTACCAAAGTAGATTTTCTCCCTTAAAAGGTCTGCTTCTGATGCACATTAAATTCGTGTCTCCTACACCTTCTCATCTTAAGGGAGAAAAAGGTCTTGTTGCCCATAAGTACAAGAAGTATGAGATCTACTCAGAGATAACTCTTTCATCCCTCCACATGTGATATAAAATATTCTGGAATATTTCCATCTCCCTCTCCTCATTGGGAAGAGCTCTCCTATCAGGGTTCATTAGCACTTGCGGATATACTATTGATAACAAAGTGCAGTATCTTCGCTAGCGACATGCCCGACTCAAGCGCACGGAAATCGCTTGGATTCCCTAATGTTCTCCCAGGTGCCTTAGACTCCAGCCTGTCTTCAACACTGTTGAAGAGTCCAAAGCCTGCCACGAGAAACAGCCTGCCAGAGAAACAACCTGCCATGAGGTACAGCCTGCCAGGAGAAAGAGGCTTGTGGCAGGTAACGTGTTGCTACACTGATCAAAGCAACAGAGTAGACTAAAAGGCAGCAAGGATTTTCCCCACAGCGTTAGGCATCTCTTCCTTACTTCTCTGGCTATGAGCCAAGCTCGCAGATCCCATGTTAACACTCGGCAAATACACAAGGCGAGCAGCAGTTCCAAGGGAACTGGGAATGCTGCTGCGTCCACGCTGCAGCCGGGTTCCTCGCAGCACCTATCCGTGCGAGCAGGTGGCATACATTTAGCACCCCCTTCAACCACCCGCTCCACAATTTTGAGCAGTGTGAATTACAACTCATCACTCGAGAGCAGATTTTCAGTGGAATGACGCCAGAAGAGGTATCCCTGCTGCCAAGGCTATTTAAACATGCTGGGAGCCCAGTCAAATTCTGAGATAAATTCTCCTCTTATTTCCTCTCTCAGTGGAGGAAAAAAAAACCCACTGTGGCTTCTTTTAGACAAAGATAACAGAGTGTGATTTTACACAGAAAGGCAACAGATAAGAATTCTCTGGTAAAGGATCATTTTCACCTCAATTATCTTTCTGTGAACACTATTAGGGTGCTGTTGGTCCACACAAACAAGGTACAGACCTGAAAATCATTTTCAACATGGAGTATATCCACTGTCCTCTTGCACAGTCAAAGACTTCCATCAATTCCTCTCAATCCTCTCAAGAAAAGTCTGTGCAGAAACAATGTCACAAAAGAAGATTTTCATAGCAAGTGTCCTTTCCTAATACCATGCACAACATGAAGAGATGAAGGAGAGATATGGGAGAGATTTCACTCAACTTAGAGACGCACAAGAAATGTCAAATATAGTAGAGAAACCTAGAATTACCTTTAGTGGTTAAACGGATTTTTTACTACTCTAGAGTGAGTGTAATGAGACACTCATTGCACTCAAATTACTTCAAGTAGCATCACAGGGAAAACATTTAAGGAATCCAAACCAACTAAATTGTTAACATTCACGATTACTGGTTTGTTAAAAATCCCGTCCACCAAGGTTAACCACAGTGACCAATACCCTCAGTGCCCGAGCTCAGACCTGTGCTGTGCCGAAGCAAATCCACTGAAACAGCCCTCTGTGACTGGGAGCTTAGTGAAGAGCTCCTGTGCTGCTGCATGTTCCCAAACAGGTAAGGGGCCTGCCCAGGTCAGCAGTTACTGCAAAGCTGTCCTCCTGGGCTGCTTTTTTATTGAGCAGGCCCATGCATTAAAGCAGAACTGTAATACACTGCCTGTAATGACAAAAGGCCTGTTCTAAATCCTATATCCAAGACTGTTGATACTGCAAGAACCTCTCATGTACTCAACCCTACATCCTGCAAGGACACAAAAGTAGTCCACACACAAATTACGTAAGTGTCTTAGTGTGCAAATGAGGAAGAGTGCAAGGTCAGCATGGCATAATTTGCTATGGACTTGTGTTTTAAAAGGAGCATTGCACTGCTGGTATAATTCCTGGTATGCTGAGATTTTGTGAATAGGTCTCAAAAAAGCCCCAAACCATTTGGCAATCCATATGACCATTTACCAGCAAGAGTCCTCAATCCATCTTAAATCCCCAATGAAAAACCTAGAGAGTCTGAGATTTTAGAGGGCAAAAAAATCCAGCGAGTACAATTATTTTACTGTTTGTAGTAAATGCCCCACAAGTTTACGTTTCACAAAAGATTTCTATTCCAGGGTCATTACATCAGTAAGCACAGACTACTACTAGTTTAGCAAACTAGCCGTGATGTTACATATTATTTTATGTTTCTCAGGCAAATATGAACAGAGTGTACTGAACAGTGCAAAATACTACAGATCAAGGAAGTCAAATGTCTAAACACGTTCCTGTTTAGGGTAAACAAAAGAAGACCTGGCCTACCTCTATTTGCTGTACCAATGAAACTTGTGAATATATTTTAATGGAAATTTTCCACAACAATCTGTTGCTCATGCATTCAAAAGACTATTTTTATTTTCAATGGAAAGAACAGAACTCTCCAGAGGAATCTTACTATATCAAAGTCTGGTGTTAATAATCCTAGCTAAACTTACTGTATTAAATTAGAACAATTCTGAATTATGAGGAGTAATCTACAGGATTAGCTTGGTGATAAAAGTCCCAGTTATTTCTGCTGCCTGCTGGCATTGGGTTCTTTCTCTGTGTCTACAGTAACTCCAGGGAAGTACCTGGAATTGCACCAATGTTACATCAAAACAACTGAGAGGAGAATCACACAGGTTTCCACGTGTATTCCCCCAAACTGTAACTTATGTGTTCTAGCTTTGATGGCTTCCCTCAATTTATATCTGAAACTTGCAGACACAAGTACAATGTGATTAGAAGACAGCTTAGGCAGAAAAAATATATGTTTTAACTTCTTCCCAAAATGATCAAGTGTGTGGGGTTTTTTTGTTGGTTTTGTTTTTAAGGGATGATCATGAGGGGAACTACTTAAGCACTTTGACTTTTCAGACATAGTTGGAAGTAGTCCAAAATCTCTTGCTTAATTTTTGGTTATCAGGGGATTTATGCCATCTCTCTTTGTATCCTATTGGCAAAGTTAAGGTCTGTAACAGGTACCTGACTAATAGTGACTTTGTTTTCATCCAGACACAATCATTTTCATTCTAACAGTCTGGAAAACAACTGTGGCCACATTCTTCACAGAGTTAGTTTTCTCACATCTTCAAGAGCGCACAAGGTTCTTGCAGGGGTAGAGCAAACGCCATGTTAAATAATATGAGAAGTGTAGAACTAACCAAGGAAGCGAACTTACACGGCAGAATTGCAATTTTGAAACCAGAAGATTGTTCTGTGCCTGTTTAGATATCAGCTAACATTTTTTTTTAGGTCATTGATGAAAGATAACAAGATAACCTAAAAAACCTGCATCACTACTATGTTGATTTTAAAAAAAATCGAACAGACCTCATTGTGTGCACATTCTCAGCCTGCCATTATGCACAATGAGGATATGCACAACCCACCTGGCATTCACAGAAAAGTGTCCATACTTCATTAGCCCATTAGTGAAACAATTGTTCAGAAGATGGGAAAATAATAATAATTTAAAAAGTAGTTTAGTACCAAATTCAGTCTAACATCAAAGTCACTAGACAGACTTCAGCTCTAGTGGACTCTCTATCCACCTTCCACAACAACACTATCATGATAAGAACTTCTTAATTTTCTAAGGGATGACATTTCGAGAAAGAAAGACACTGCCATTTCTAGTTTATCCAATTTCAGAGTTTAGCATTAGTCGAATTTTGATCTCATTGAGTGGTACTAGGGATTTTGACCAGTAAATCCAAAAGATTTTAGAAACTATTTAAAAAAAAAAAAAAAACTTCAGGGACATCTAAATGTATCACAAGGAAGCCAAATGCATAAGTAGCTACCAGAGAATGTTACCATGCCATGGAACAGAAATCCCTCACAGAGCAGCAGCAGTCCCTGCACTGTCTGACAAAGTGCATATTGCAATCACAATCTGATAAGCTATGTAAAGTTACCTGGGAATGTAAAGATGATATAGTATAAGATTCAGTAAAACCACAAGCCCAGAGGCAAGACAGTGGGGAACCAACGTTCAGTGAGCTATGCAAAATTCCCATCACTTTGATAACTCAGTCTTTCCCATCAGGGCCTCTCCAACAACAACAAATACAACATCAAAAAGACAGAGCTGTAACATTGGGTGGGGTTGACTTTTGACTTGTAAACTCACGTTATCAAGCCCAACAGCTTCCATGCAACATGCTGAAACTGGATACCTAAAGCCCAAGGATGCCACTGAAACAGTTTTAGATCATCACATCACATACTGAAGAAATATTAAGATATGCTATCTATAAAAAGCATTTGCAAATCATCCAGGAGATGAGTGCCATCACTTGCAACAAGTAGCTGCTAATAAACGCTGTCTTAGCCATGTCACATTCGTAACATTAGTACATTACCCAGTAATGAGCTAAAATCTACACGCTGTAATTTTTAAAACCCCGCAGTCCTGACAATTTGAGGCTTTGGCTTTCCC